TCCTTCTCCTTCTCCTTCTCCTTCTCCTTCTCCTTCTCCTTCTCCTTCTCCTCCTCCTCCTCCTCCTCCTCCTTCTCCTTCTTCTTCTTCTTCTCCATCTCCTTCTCCTCCTCCTCCTCCTCCTCCTCCTCCTCCATCTTCATCTCCATCTCCTCCTCCTCCTCCTCCATCTCCTTCTCCTTCTCCTTCTCCTTCTCCTTCTCCTTCTCCTTCTCCATCTCCATCTCCATCTCCACCTCCATCTCCATCTCCATCTCCATCTCCATCTCCATCTCCTCCTCCTCCTCCTCCTCCTCCTCCTCCTCCTCCTCCTCCTCCTCCTCCTCCTCCATCTCCATCTCCTCCTCCTCCTCCTCCTCCTCCTCCTCCTCCTCCTCCTTCTCCTTCTCCTTCTCCTTCTCCTTCTCCTTCTCCTCCTCCTCCTCCTTCTCCTTTTCCTCCTCCTGTTTGAGTTGAAATTGTCCCAATTTGTTAACGTTCCAGCACATCACTGCCCAAGCCATTCCTTTTCCATGCCTTTGTCTGTTCACTGGGTAGATGAAAGAAAGGGGACTCCTTCACACCACTCATAGCTCAACTATGGAATTTGCTCACCACAAGAAGTAGTGGTGGCCCCGATGTGGATGGCTATAAAAGAGGCTTGGACAAATTCCTGGCCAAGTAGGTCTGCTTCAACTGTTCGAGGCCCAATGTCCCTGAATGTCCGTTGCAACTTTAGGAGGGAAGAGTTGTTATTGCAGTTGGGTCCTTGCTTGTGTGCTTCCTGCAAGGACAACTGGTTGGCCACTGGGAGAACGGGATGCTGGACTAGAAAGGCCTTTGGCCTGATCCATCAACCTCTTCATATCTTCCAGTGTTGAACACCTCCAAAGCAGACCTGGCGGAGGAGCAACGGCAAGGGCAAAGAACAATGTGGTTCCTCCTATCAATGTACTGTCAAGACCAACATTTATAGTGGTATATTTTCCTAAGAAAATTCCTGAGAATTCTGGATTCCAGTTGCCAGGACTGGTGGGCAGGAGAGTGCTATTACGCTCACGTTCTGCTTGTGATCTTCCCATAGGCTTCTGGTTGGCTGTCGTGAGACCAGGGACTCGGCTATAAAGCTGCAAATAAAACGTTTTAAGTGCAATATACAACGGGACACTAGATGCTGATGGCGAGCCTTATGGAAAAGTCAATGTGTTTTTAAAAAGCACTTTTAGAAAAAGCATTTTCAATGTGGTTTTTATATGTGTCTGGCTTCCACCAAGGGTTCAAATCTCACTTTCAGCTGGTCACTAACTCTTGCCCATATCTACTTCACCGGGTTGTTGTGAGCAGTGCTATTTTTCTAGAAAAAGAGGAGCCAGAGCACACCATGAACCCTTTTTCTCTTAGAATGGCAATGGTCCCATGCTAATCTTCTCTGTATCTTTCCAATTTTAGTATATGTGCTGCCGAAGCGAGATAAGTATTGGAAAGGGAATCATTTACCCACTAGGGGAGAGTGGTTATGTAAGCTTTCAGAATATTTAGAATTAGCCAAATTGACAGATATAATAAGACAAAAACCAAAAAGTGAAGTGAAAAAGGAATGGGAGTGTCTCAATGAATACCTTAAAAGCCAAGGTTCGAGGACAGAAATCTGGCTGAGTCTGGAATAACCTTGCAAAGTGAAAGGAAAAGAAGGAGGGATTTATATCTGGATGCTAGGATAGAGATGATAAGGAAAACAGGAAGACACAAGGAGAGGTAAAGGAGGTGCTGTGGGCTTGGTGGAAGTCAATGTTTTTCTTTTTAGTGTTTATATTATTAACTTGTAAGATATGGATTTTTTTGGTTTTTTGAACGTTGTGTTTTGTGTTTTGTTATTTTTCGATATTTTTCATGTTGTTGTGGGGAAAATACTAATAAAATTTATAATAATAATTTTAAAAAAGAATGGCAACAGTGCCCACTTGAGAGGTGCCACAGGTGAGCTCCTGTCAGCTCCAGCTGGGGTGGGGAGCCCTAGTTTTGAGGATAATATGGAATATGGGAGAGAGGATCGCCACTCTGAGCTACTTGGAGGAATAGTGGGACATAAATGGAACAATACATCAAGAAAGAAAATTTTCTTAGCTTATTTTTTGCAGTCTGGGCATGCCCTTAAAATGGAAAGGAAAGGTTTTATGCAAGGAGGAGCTGTATTCAGTGAGGTTTGCAATGCCAGAGACAGAGCCCCACAGCGCTGTTATCAAATGATGTTACCGGTCACAGACAGGTAGCATTGAGACAGAAAAGGTAGTTCACTCTGCCAGAGTGTAGTAATTACCCCCGCTATTGAAATATTGAGGATTTTTCTAAAAGCCTATTATAAAATAATAGCAGCGCCCAGTTACTGTGGGTTTATCTCATCCATCAATGGAATGCAGAGGTTTTGCAATTCATCTCCTCTGTTTGTAGGGGAGGAGGAAGGTGGAATTTTAGACAGCTGATAATAAAATATATAAAATTGCCGTGAGAAAAATACAAAATAAGCCTGGGTAAAACCCCTTCATTTCACTGACCAAGGTTTTTGGTTTTTTTGTGTGTGTCTTTTTGTACAAAGAGGATTGTGGCATTTCATATAAGGGGGCCATTGTCCTGGAAATAAAATCTCCATTTCACCTTTCTTCTCTGGCCATGATCAATAGGAGGAAATTAAAGTCCTGTCCTGGGAAGAAGCAGAAAGCTAGCTTACTACCACAGCGATGAAAGATCAGGTAATCATAATACAGGAAAGGGAAGCACAGGTGAGGTTTGGGCGCCATCTCTTGGATACTGAGTGGCAGTGCTGCTAAGAAGGCCCACACGAAAGCTTTTCAGAAGGCAGCGTGCAGAGAAACGAATGGAAGTAAAACATCAGATAAACTGAACAGAGGAAGTTAGCCCATGGGAGTTTAGCTTAGTTTTACTCCATAAATTCTTCTGTGAGAATCTATCATGGCCATAGGTGGTGGGAGAAGCATGCAATCAGCTTTATAGCAAGGTTACGGTTAGGGCAACCTGTGGCCCTCCAGAAACATTGTAAAATCATAGCGTTGGAAGGGATCCCGAGGGTAATCTAATCCAACGCAGGAATATGCAGTTGTCCTATATGGGGATTGAACCTGCAACTGTGGCATTATCTTCTTTCCCCCCCCAAAAAAAAAATTGGTTTTCACACATATCACATAAAAAAAGAAAAACAAGAAAAAAGAAAAACATTACAATACACACACAAAAAGACAAACACATAAAAATGAATTTTAACTTCCAAATCCTAATTTCAATACATTGATAACTGACTTCCTCAAATCCCCTCTAACTGAATTTCATTATACAGTATCACCTATTTAGCAGTTCTCCAAATTCATATTTCTAATAATATTAGCTTCTTTCATTTACTAACTTCTTCTCCTTTATTAATATTCTAATCTTTAATATTTATTAATAACATATTCATATTCTACCCCTAAGCCTAATGATTACTTCCAAGAAATTTCTCTTTATCTTATATTACAATATTTAGCCAAATATTCTTTAAAATTCTTCCAATCCTCTTGTGTCTCCTCTTCTTTCTGGTCGTGGCATTATCAGCACCACTCTCTGTTGTTGTTGTTTAGTCGTTCAGTCATGTCCAACTCTTTGTGACCCCATGGGCCAGAGCACGCCAGGCACTCCTGTCTTCCACGGCCTCCCGCAGTTTGGTCAAACTCATGCTGGTTGCTTCAATAACACTGTCCAACCATCTCGTCCTCTGTCGTCCCCTTCTCTTTGTGCCCTCCATCTTTCCCCACATCAGGGTCTTTTCCAGGGACTCTTCTCTTCTCATGAGGTGGCCAAAGTATCGGAGCCTCAGCTTCATGATCTGTCCTTCCAGTGAGCACTCAGGGCTGATTTCTTTAAGAATGGAGAGGTTTGATCTTCTTGCAGTCCATGGGACTCTCAAGAGTCTCCTCCAGCACCATAATTCAAAAGCATCAATTCAATTCCCATTATAGTGTTGGCTGGGGATAATGGCAGCTGGGATCCAATATTTTGAAGGCCGTAGGTTTCTCGTTGATACTTCAGAAGAAGGGCCATAGCTCAGTGGTTGCATGGGGAAGACCCCTTTTGGCCGATTAACATCCTATACCCTTTTAATGTGTTTGTGAGGGGGGGCTATTTCTTTTGTTTGTAGAGGCGGAGAAAGGGGGGTGCAGTGGGTGCGGCCCACTCTGGGTGCCATACCTGAGGGGGAGTGACATTGCCACACTTGTGGTGGCCGGGACCCTCGCCCCACCCCCTGGGACATTCACCCTGCCCCCCTGGGATGCTAGGTGTTATGTACTGAAGTTCTCACCCTGGGCCAGCAGGGGGATACTGTAGATAGTTTTCACTCAGGTCCACATATGCAAATAAGGGATCGAAAGTGACGTTCAGTGATTGGATAGTTACAGAAAATGGTTATTGTTGCGTTGTAGTGGAGCTCTATATAAGCAGGCTGGCTGAACCCTTCAGTTCAGTTCAGTTCTGTTCTGGCCTGTGAATAAACAAGAGCTGTCTGAAGAATCGCTGTGTCGTCTGATATGTTCACCCACAACTTAACACTAGCCCTGCCCCCCAGGTGCACGCCACTCCATTTGCCAGAGCAGCCAGCTCCGCCTCTGCTTGTTTTTGTTGTTTTTGTTATTTGAAGTCATTTTGCATGTTTCCCTTCCATTGAGAAAACCTTCCCCCTTCCTAGCTTGGCACATTCAAGATTCCTAGGCATCCTCTGGACCCTTACCAACCCCTCATTCATAAGAGCGTAAGCAGCCGCCCTCAGTGCCATGCTAATGAACTGCACCATGACCCTAGAGCGGTCTGTAAGTCCTGGAAGGGCAGGCAGAGCCATAAATCTATGGCAACACACTTCTCCACTCATCTCTGGGCCTCCATGTGCCATTCAGCTTCTTCGTCTGTCATGCTCACTCGGCTGCATCTGGGTGGGCAGGAAGGACTGCTGATTTGAAAAGTGCTAATTCAGTCACTCTGGTAGCTGTGATTTATTCTTTTATTTTGTAATGGGCATAGGATGAGGGATTGACAACAGATGGATTCAGTGATTTTTAAAAAACGAAAACGAAACCTTAGTATTTTGTTATTATCTCTAACTTTTCTCCTAAACTGCAACATTTCACAGCACAAAACAGAGTGTCATTTGTGATGCCCCCCTCCCAGACCCCATCCTCATTTCAAGAATTACTAACAGAGCTTTTCCCCCGGCCCACCCCAACCCCACATCACTGGAGGCTCCACAAAGTCTGCTATATTTGTTTTAAAACTATGGACATACCAGCTTGTTATCCATAGCTGGGAAACTTTATGCAGGTTTCTTAGGCCTTAAACAAAAAGCTTGGATTAGTGATTTTTTTTTTAAGGCCATTGTTTGTTAGTGGTCCACTTGCTCCAAAAGGGGGCAAACCCTTTTATTGATTGAAAATCTGCCTTTGGTTCCATATTGCAGGTTTGTCTTTGGAGCAAATTTGAACAGCACTCCATCGACAGAGGCTTATACAGTGGTACCTCGGGTTAAGAACTTAGTTTGTTCTGGAGGTCCGTTCTTAACCTGAAACTGTTCTTAACCTGAAGCACCACTTTAGCTAATGGGGCCTCCCACCACCGCCGCACGATTTCTGTTCTCATCCTGAAGCAAAGTTCTTAACCCGAGGTATTATTTCTGGGTTAGCGGAGTCTGTAACCTGACACATCTGTAACCAGAGGTACCACTGTACTTTTGATCCAATCACGGTACCATAACACATTAGTAAAGGTCCACTGATTTAACCAGGGACATCTCACTGACAGAAGGATGTGTTCTTTCTCCCACCTTATTTAATCTATATTTGACGGACCTTCCCCATACCATCTCATCCACCTAAGACTGGGCTAACTAAAGTCTTTTTTTTTTTTAAATGATATTTATTAAAATTTCAAAGAATACAAGAATTACACAAAAACAAAAAGTAAAAATACAAGAAAATATAACAAAGAAATGAAAAATAAAAAGAAACATACAAAATAAGAACAGTTAAAAACACATTAATTTTCCATAGCCTATCTTCCTTACACTTATTTCCCCGGACCTCCTCGTACCTCCCTTTTTTGTATTCCAGTTCAGTTTATTAGTTCAGCAAATCCTTACCATTAAGCTTTTACCCATTTATGAAACTTTTTTTCGTATCTCTTAAAGCATTACAGCTGGAAACCACTTAGTTTCTATCCAACATCCTTCTAAGATTCATTAATTTTACAATATTTCTGTAAATAGTCTTTAAATTTCTTCCAGTCTTCTTTCACCGACTCTTCTCCCTGGTCTCGGATTCTACCAGTCATTTCTGCCAATTCCATGTAGTCGATCACCTTCATCTGCCATTCTTCCAGAGTGGGTAGATCTTGTGTCTTCCAATACTTTGCAATGAGTATTCTTGCTGCTGTTGTAGCATACATAAAAAAAGTTCTGTCCTTCTTTGGCACCAATTGGCCGACAATGCCCAGAAGAAAGGCCTCTGGTTTCTTCAGGAAGGTATATTTAAATACCTTTTTCAATTCATTATAAATCATTTCCCAGAAAGCCTTAATCTTTGGGCACGTCCACCAAAGGTGAAAGAATGTACCTTCAGTTTCTTTACATTTCCAACATTTATTATCGGGCAAATGATAGATTTTTGCAAGCTTGACTGGGGTCATGTACCACCTGTATATCATTTTCATAATATTCTCTCTTAAGGCATTACATGCCGTAAACTTCATACCTGTGGTCCATAACTGTTCCCAGTCAGCAAACATAATATTATGTCCAACATCTTGTGCCCATTTAATCATAGCAGATTTTACCATTTCATCCTGAGTATTCCATTTCAACAGCAAGTTATACATTCTTGACAAATTCTTAGTTTTGGATTCTAGCAGTTCTGTTTCTAATTTTGACTTTTCCACCTGGAAGCCAATTTTCTTATCCAAATTATATGCCTCCATTATCTGATAGTAATGAAGCCAATCTCTCACTTTGTTTTTTAGTTTTTCGAAACTCTGCAATCTCAATTTATCTCCTTCTTGTTCCAAAATTTCTCAATATGTCGGCCATTTGGCCTCCATATTGAGCCTTTTCAGAGCTTTTGCTTCCATTGGTGACAGCCACCTTGGGGTTTTATTTTCCAATAAATCTTTATATCTTATCCAGACATTAAACAATGCTTTCCTGACAATATGATTTTTGAATGCTTTGTGTGCTTTGACCTTATCATACCATAAATATGCATGCCATCCAAATACATTGTTAAAACCTTCTAAATCCAAAATGTCTGTGTTTTCAAGAAGTAGCCATTCTTTCAACCAGCAAAAAGCTGCTGATTCATAATAAAGTTTAAGGTCTGGCAGGGCAAATCCACCCCTTTCCTTTGCATCTGTTAGTATCTTAAATTTTATTCTGGGCTTTTTGCCCTGCCAGACAAATCTAGAAATATCTCTCTGCCACTTCTTAAAACAGTCCATCTTGTCCACAATTTGCGATGTCTGAAATAAAAACAGCATTCTGGCAATACATTCATTTTTATCACAGCAATGCGGCCCAACAATGAAAGTTTCAAATTTGACCAAATTTCTAAGTCTTTTTTCACTTCCGTCCAACATTTTTCATAATTATCTTTAAATAAGTTCCCATTTTTGGCTGTCATATTAATCCCCAAAAGTCTTTATTCTCCTTTGTGTTGATGACACTGTTATCTCATACAAAGCTGGGCCAATTTAAAAAAAAAACCAGCCACCTGAATATTGCGTATTTTTGTTTTCAATACTACTGAAACAAAGCCATCTCATCCACAAGTGGACTTCTGCTGAACTCCCCTCTTCTCCCACACATCCAACCCGTTGATCAGTCTGCACCCTTTCGAGAATGAGTCGACCACGTATCTCCCCGTTCGTCGAATTCAGTGACCGTTCGCCTGGCTTCCTTGGCTATCCTTCGAATTCTACGCAGGTAGACGATGACCAGGAGAAGCAGGACTGCTTGCATGAGGAGGAAGATGAAAAGGCACATCTGAGAGATGAGCGCCACACCACAATACCAGTACTGACAGGTGGAAATGATCTCATCCTCCGACAAATAGCTGATGATCCTGCCTTGAAGATGGGAGGGGGATAAGCATATGACGTTCCTGTAAAAGCTCCGGTTCTGCTGCCACTGGAGCCAGGAGCGCAGGTAGAGGATGTGACAGTCACATTCCCAGGGGTTTGCCCACAGGTGAACCACCTGGAGGTCTTTCAGGTTGTCAAAGAGCCCATTGGGGATGGAGGTGAGATTATTGTGGTTGAGGTAGAGCTTGGTGGTCGAGGGAGGGAAGGAGGTGGGGAGGTTGTTGTGCATAAGATCTTTTGCCGTGCAGTCAATGAGAGTGGAGGCGCACAGGCAGGGCTCAGGGCAGGTTGGAGTGACGAGAGGGAGGAAGACGAGGAGGAGGATGAGCTGGAGGAAAATCATCTTCCACCCTGAAAGACGCAAGAGTCGCCAGTTAGACCAACAAACAATACAAGCAACACGAAGACCAGTATACTAGATAGCACTGCAATTCTTATTGCATAATATACATGATTTACTACAACAAAAACAAAATGTGTACACTTGTAAATTCTCTAATATATTTGAAATCAAATCAATCTTTGAAAGTCTGTAGAAGTATATTAAGTCTATGGTTGAAACAAAGTAATAGATGCTATCCTGTTGGCTAAGCGGTAAAACTTTTTTAGGCATTCATGGTGCCGAAGTAGTAAGTGAATAACAACGTAGGACAGTGATTCCGGATAATCTGACTGTTTCGCTGGAATCTTCTTCAGCACAACTACAAAAGAATTCAAATATGAAACAATGACCTGTGTACATGAAAACTATATAAACTTCACACATTACAACCCATATGCTACAACTACAATAAGAAGAACAAAGGTACATACCCCATAGATTAGAAGAATGCACAAGGAGCAGTGGTCATGAGAATATGTAACCACTGCTACCAGTTGCATGAAACGATTCCCAGATGGCGCTCATTACAGGGACACTGAATTGCAGTTATGAATTGGCCAGTTAGACCAAAGCACTACCATCACACATACCAGGTCAATCACTCAAGGGAATGGAAGGACAGGGTCAACATTGCAGGTCGTCTAAATCAGGGAAATGGTGGAGCTCAAGATGTTGCTGGACTCTAACCCTGATCACCTCTGACTCTTGGCCATACTGGCTGAGGCTGATGGGAGTTGGAGTCGCAACAGTATGGGGTGGGCGACACTGTTCCCTCCATCTCTGGTATGAACTTAAGAGTAGAAAAATGGGAAACTGAGAGACATAAGAATTGACAGGTTTTCTCATCCTGGCGCAAAATCAGTGTGACCCCGGCTGCTTGTCATCTTAATTTGACCAAAGGTACTTCCTTTACTTTTCATAGTACACAAGCAGCCATTTGTGATAACAGGGTGTAGGGATTCGGCTATACAGTTGCAAATCTAATGTTTTGAGTGAGTTTTAAGTGCATTGTACAAAAGTGGCGCTAGATGGCGATGGTGAGCTAATGGCAAATTCAATATATATATATTTTTAAAAATTAAAGCATTTTCACAGAATGTGTGTGTGTGTGTCTAGATTCAGCCTAGGTGGGGGAAATGGCCTGACCCACCCAAAAGTACAGGGCCCAGAAAATTCTGCAAATGCCCCATAGCTCAGAGCGAAAGCTCTGTTTTCCTCCCTCTGAAAAGCATCCTAAATTTGCACCTTTAAAAGTAAATCAGCAAATGCAAAACGCATGCACATCATATGCAAACTTGTGCCCCAAGTCTTTAAACTCTCTATTGATGCCCCTGTACATTGGTCATTTTACTATTTTATAAAATTCAATTGCCCAGTACCCTTTTTCCTTTCTTGCTAGTATTTGGTGCTGCCAACCAAACTCCCTTATACCGAGTCAGACCATTGGTCTATCTAGCTCAGCACTGCCTGATCTGACTGGCAGCAGCTATCCTGGATTCGAGGCACGTATCACTCCCAGATCCACCTGCCGGGGAATGAACCTGAGACCTTCTGCATGCAAAGCAGGTGCTCTACCACTGAGCTATGCCCCTTCCTCTAAAAACCCCAGTCCTAAATTAAGATAAAGGTAAAGGTAAAGGGACCCCTGACCATTAGGTCCAGCCGACTCTGGGGTTGCGGCACTCATCTCGCTTTATGGGCCGAGGGAGCCAGGGTACAGCTTCCGGGTCATGTGGCCAGCATGACTAAGCCGCTTCTGGCGAACCAGAGCAGCGCACGGAAACGCCGTTTACCTTCCCGCTGGAGCGGTACCTATTTATCTACTTGCACTTTGACGTGCTTTTGAACTGCTAGGTTGGCAGGAGCTGGGACCGAGCAACGGGAGCTCACCCCGTCGCGGGGATTCGAACCGCCGACCATCTGATCGGCAAGTCCTAGGCTCTGTGGTTTAACCCACAGCGCATCCCGCATCCCAAAATAGAATAGAAGGCTACCATATACCAATCACAACATTGGTCCAGCTAGCTCAGTATTGTCTACACGGACTGGCAGTGTCTCTCCAGGATTTCCCTAGTGCTACCTGGAGGCACCAAGAATTGAACCTAGGACCTTCTGCATCCAAAGCAGGTGTTCTGCCACTGAGCTAAAGTCCTTCCCTGAAGGAAGACTCCTTCAGATGGTTCCCAGGTTGCTTCTCTGTTAATGGAATGGGAGGAGCACTGTGTCCATTTCCTCCCTCCATTTACACTCGCTGCCCCATTCCCAAAGCTTGCTCAAGGCCGAGGAGCACATTTTCAGCAGAGAGCTGCCAAAGGAAAGGAGCAGGGAAGGCTCATCCGATGAGCAGAACTTCCCCTCCACAGGAAAGGAATGAGGATGAACCAGAGGTCACATATTTTGGGAGGAATACTTTTAAATCTACCAACACAAGAGATTTGGAGGGGGGAGAGAGAATGAGAAGCAGGAGGTTAGTGTAAGAAGAGCTGTTCAAAAAGCCCATACAAAGGGATCGCAGCCCGTTTAAAGAGTTTTCTGTAACTCAAAACCTTGTGTATTCTTTCATCAGCTGACACACCGGTCAGGAGAGAGACAGAAAGTATCCCCTTGCTTATTCTTTCATCTGTTGCTTCTATGGGACCAGAATAGTTGGCTCCATATCAGACAAAGCGCTGGCAACAGGCAGATCTCTTAGAAACTCTTTGATACCCAGCGCTGGGTGAGTTTTAAAGACATCGCTTTGAGACAGGAGTGCTAGCTCAGTGGCAGAGCATCACAGGTCCAATCCCCTGCATCTTCCAAGTCAGGTTAGAAAAGATCTGTGCCTGAAGTCCTGCAGAACTGGGGCCAAACAATGGAGAGACAGATGAACCAATGGCCTGACTTGAAAGAAGGCAGCGCCCATATCTCTAGAGCAGTGGTTCTCAGAGGGTGAGATGCGCCACATCGGTGTGGCAGGAAAGGATGGCAAATTTGGTGGTGCAGTTCAGTTTTTTGTGTTTTAGGGACGCAGGTAGCATTGTGGTCTAAACCACTGAGCCTCTTGGGCTTGCCGATCGTAAGGTCAGTGGTTCAAATCCCCATGACGGGGTGAGCTCCTGTTGCTCTGTTCCAGCTCCTGCCAACCTAGCAGTTCGAGAGCATACAAGTGAAAGTAGATAAACAGGTACCATAGCGGCGGGAAGGGAAACAACGTTTCTGTGCGCTCTACTTTCCGTCACAGTGTTCCGCTGCACCAGAAGCAGTTTAGTCCTGCTGGCCACATGACCCGGAAAGCTGTCTGTGGACAAACGGCGGCTCCCTCAGCCTGAAAGCGAGATGAGCGCTGCAACCCCATAGTCGCCTTTGACTGGACTTAACCATCCAGGGGCCCTTTACCTTACCTTGGGAAAAAAGGTAAAGGACCCCTAACAGTTAAGTCCAGTTGTGGACGACTCTGGGGTTGCGGCACTCATCTCGCTTTACAGGCCGAGGAAGCCAGCGCTTGTCCAGAGACAGTTTTTCCGGATCATGTGGCCAGCATGACTAAGCCGCTTCTGGTGAAACAAGAGCAGCGCACGGAAATACCGTTTACCTGCCCACCGGAGTGGTACCTATTTATCTACTTGCACTTTGACGTGCTTTCGAACTGCTAGGTTGGCAGGGGCTGGGACAGAGCAACGGGAGCTCACCCTGTTGCAGGATATTCGAACCGCCAACCTTCTGATCAGGAAGCCCAAGAGGCTCAGGCTTTAGACACAGCGCCACCCACGTCCTGCGTTACCTTACCGTTTACCTATTGTGTTTTAACAAACAGCCATTACACGAATAAAAATAACAAGAATACTGCTGCTAATAGTGGTTTACATTTCTACTCTCGACCTTTAGAGGATAAATCATTTCCCATACCCCCTTTAAATTTTGTTACATGAATGTGTAGAGCCTTAGTAAGAAATTTGGATGTTCTAAAGGATATATAACTTCTCTACATCAGACAACAGAAAACAGGTCTTTGCAAGAGATGGCCTCCCCTTCTACGATCTTAGCAATGGGTGGATGTAGTTGTTTCTAATATTATTACAAAAAGAGCATTCAAGGAGTATATGAGTTGTGTCTTCTGTTGACACAGAGTTGCAGCCACAAACTCTGTCCTCCTTCGGACAGCCCGTCCAATCTAATGGAAGGACGTTTAGTCTTGCCTGTGTAAAGGCTACCCTCATTTCAACATTTGGTAAATCTACCACATACCTTGGCAGGGATAAATACAATGGAATAAAGGAAGCATACAATTTATTAGATTGACAAATCACAATCTCAGCAGTTTGTGATTGCATCTTGGTGCGGTGGAAAGATTCAAGGACAATCAAAGATATTTAAACATTTCAGTGTAGTATTGACTTTTTAAAATTTGCAGAATATGGATAGATATCTTTTCCAGATCAAGCGCTGCTAGGAGCTGTTTCTTTTTGTTTTCCAGTGCATTTCTTATCGATAAAAGCATTGGGTGTGGCACAAGCAAATTTTTAATCGGAAAGTGTGGACCAGAGGAAAAAGTTTGAGAACCACTGCTCTATATTTATACCCCGCCCTTCCTCCCAAAAGAGCCCAAGGTGGAAAATAACTCTTGAGACTGCAATATCCTTAGGGGAATTGCAAAGATGCACCAAACGACCCAAGAGACTTCCTTGAGAATTCCTTGCAGAGTCACTGAAGATGTTGGAGCACAGCTCAGTCCTGGCTCATGCAAAAACAGGTGAAGACTCAAGTTTGGGAAACGCTGCTCTAGATGGACAAACAACCTGTCCTGACACAGGACAGTTTCCTATGTACCTGTGGGGGAAATGGTTTTAGACTTACCACTCTCAGCTCGCTCCTCTGCAGAATGAGAACCCAAGCTGAATGCTGGCCAGCTGTGTGAGAAGTAGTAAGTGCGCAGCTGAGCAGTCCTGATAAATCCACCGCCTGCACCAGAAAGATAACGGGAAGCCTGTTCCTAACCCGTCATTCTGCGGAGATCCCACAAGCTAGTCCTTGCAAGCTGATGCTTCTTCCCTGCTGACTGAAAGACCTGTTTTTTGCATCACGCTCAGAAATGGAATTGCACTCAGGACCACGCCCGGTTGTGGCAGAATGGTTAATAAGAAAACAATTCTGCAATAAAATAAAATAAAATTCCTTCCAGTAGCACCTTAGAGACCAACTAAGTTTGTTATTGGTATGAGCTTTCGTGTGCATGCACACTTCTTCAGATTCTGCAATAGTTCACTAGCAGGGATTCAGAAATACGTTCTCATGTGCCTGTAAGGAAGGGAGGTGGCAGAGGTCCTGGGGAATGTATTTTTAATATTTTGTTGGAAGCCGCCCAGAGTGGCTGGGGAAATGGACAAGGTATAAATAAATTATTATTATTATTATTATTATGATGATGATGAAGAAGAAGAAGAAGAAGAAGAAGAAGAAGAAGAAGAAGAAGAAGAAGAAGGTTCAAACCCCAGTAACTTCAGGTAGGGTTGGGAAGAACCCCAGTCTGAAACCCTGGAGAATCCTGGGAAGCTTAACAATGCTAAGAATTGTTATGAGACCCCTATTCCCCTCACAGTTACAATTCCCAGAGTTCCCTGGAAAGAGGAATTGGTTATTATAGAACTCTGGGAGTTGTAGCTCAGTAAGGGGAATAGGTAAAGGGACCCCTGACCATTAGGTCCATTTGTGGCCGACTCTGGGGTTGCGGCGCTCATCTCGCTTTACTGGCCGAGGGAGCCGGCGTACAGCTCCCGGGTCACGTGGCCAGCATGACTAAGCCGCTTCTGGCGAACCAGAGCAGCGCACGGAAACACCGTTCACCTTCCAGCCGGAGCGGTACCTATTTATCTACTTGCACTTGACGTGCTTTCGAACTGCTAGGTTGGCAGGAGCAGGGACCGAGCAATGGGAGCTCACCCCGTCACAAGGATTTGAACCGCCGACCATCCAATCAGCAAGCCCTAGGCTTTCTGGTTTAGACCACAGCACCACCCACGTCCCCCTGTGGGAAAAAGTGGTCTCCTAATAACTCGTGTGTGCGTGTCTTTGTGATTGAATGATTTTACATGTTTGAGTTTACAATCATACCACAACACATTCTAAGTTACAAAATTCCTACAAACCTCTGGACGTCCCACCTTCCCCTCCATGGGTTCTGTTGTTAAATCTTTTCTGCTGCATCTTTATTTTAATAATCCAATTTTTTATAATTCCATTGTGTCCATAGTTCTCATTACATTACAAGTATTATTGAAATCCTGCTAACGTTTTCAACTGCTTACAGCGGCCTTCGAGGTAAATTATAATTTCCCCCCATTCTTTATTAAAGTTTTGGTCTTCCTGATCCCCGAGTCTTCCGGTCAGTTTTGCCATTTTGGCATAGTCCATCAACTCGATTTGCCATTCTTCTCCGGTAGGGACTTTATCTTCTTTCCATCTCTGGGCTCCTAATAGCTCTTAGCACCCTTAACAAATTATATTTTCCAGGATTCTTTTGGGGGAGCCATGATTGTTAAAAGTGGTGCAGACCAGGGCCTACGTCTCTGCCATAAATGTGGAAGGGGAGGAAGAGGAGGTCCATGCAGTTGTGCAACAGATCTGCAGGTGCTTTTTGCACACGATTCCTCTCAAACATTCACTCAGGATGGGCAAATTTGTGCATTCATCGAGTCAAGGGTAGGACTGACCACAAGGACTGATAGCCTCTGATGACTCGGCACCCAAAAGCATATGTCACCCTTAGTTAAGGATGGAGTTCCACCACATCCTGTCAACCGGAACCCAGTCATGCTTCGAAATGTGCACCTCTCTAAATTTTGCAGTGCTGTTCTCCATCCAAGTCATACATGCACAAAAACACAGGGTAAAGTGTATTGGTGAAAATAGGAGACAAAAATGCACTGTGTAAGGGGAAATTGCCTTACATAAAATGTGTACATTGGGCAAAATTGTGTATATATGGGTCCACTGGAGGGATTCATACAAAAATATTGTTGAATTTTCATGAAAACTTTTTTTAAAAAAATCACATACTGGTGTGGAAATCTGGAGAACTGGACTTTTATGAGTGGAAAAATTGAGAAACTCAAACTGGCAGATTCACCCATCCCTAGTAGAATCTAGCCTTCTGTACAAAGGTGGATATCCTGTATGTTGCTCTGCCGACTTAAGCCTGACAACCAAGGAAGGTTGTCCAGAAGGGAATGTGAACCCTGACTGAAAACATTTCCCCAACCCTGATATAATTTATTGATTTTATTGTCTGCATTTGCAGGGCACCCAATAAAACAAGACCATCTCTAAGTGGCTTTCCATAGAAGAATCTAGATATAGCTATACAGATATTTCAATCCAGATCATGAAGCTTCTTGCTCACTTACCATGACTGATGGCGATAGTCCTCTCACTGCAAGAGCCGGCCAACGCTTTGGATCTGAACAAGACTGAAGTCATTGCGTTCAAGGGTCAGGAAGGGAGGGAAGGAAGGAATTCTCCTTGCTCAACTTCTCAGGCTTAGGTTGTTTCAGGATCCAGACTGCTATGGCCAGAAAATGCCTGTCCAAAGATTCCACCACTCATTCAAATGGAAGCTAGTCTGCGATGGTGTGCAATCTGCAGGGCAGTGCCCTTAACAGTTGGGGGATTGGGCTGGTGCCTAGTATAAAGTCTAGCCTTCCTGAATGGCACCCACGCTTCTGTATGTGGACTCCCTCGCTGTTGTCATCCTGATGGAGCCTTGGAGATTGCTGCTCTTCAGCTCTCAAATGGACTGAGCCCAACATTCGCCAGAGAGTCTAAACCTTCAAGCTTTGTGTGATGAAGGGAAGAAGGGTTGGCCCTGCCTACTCCATCGTGTGTCCCTGTCACAACTTCAACACTTTACACATGCTAGGAAGGTAAATTTCTGCAATGGGGATCTGAGGCGACACCAGGAATGGGGAAACTGTGGCTGTCCACAGTTGATTATACTACATCTCCCATCATCCTGGACAATTGGCCGTGCTGTCATGGGCTGATGGAAGTTGTTGTACTTATTTGGAAGCAGAAAGGGCACGCTAGTGGAAACAGAAATGGGAAGGAGGGGCCCCCATGTTGGGATGGGGGACCACTGCTGGTCACTTAAAGGTGAAGGGACCCCTGACCATTAGGTCCAGTCGTGGCCGACTCTGGGGTTGCGGTGCTCATCTCGCTTTATTGGCCGAGGGAGCCGGCGTACAGCTTCCGGGTCATGTGGCCAGCATGACTAAGCCGCTTCTGGCGAACCAGAGCAGCGCACGGAAACGCCGTTTACCTTCCTGCCGGAGCGGTACCTATTTATCTACTTGCCCTTTGACGTGCTTTTGAACTGCTAGGTTGGCAGGAGGAGGGACCGAGCAACGGGAGCTCACCCCGTCGCGGGGATTCAAACCGCCGACCTTCTGATCGGCAAGTCCTAGGCTCTGTGGTTTAACCCACTTACCCAAGGGCTATTCAAGTTCTGGAGCCAGCATTGAGTTCAGGTGATTTTTTAAAAATAAGAATTCACCAAGATCAAACTCCTTAAGCATCCCTGTTCTGCTATGGGAGGACTCGCTGATGCAATACCTGTGGTTACTAGTGTGCCTGCCAGTATCTCCTATGGCACCAACCAAAGGTCTTAGTAAATATCCCCTCAAAAATCCACAAGGCCCAAGAGACTGTTGGCTCAGTTCCTCTTTGCACTGGCTCGTCCTCCGTAACATTGGACACACCGCTTTAAAGAAGCCCACCTTTCAGCGGATACCGGGATCAGACACCCATCCTCCCTTCCATTCTGAACAAATGAGAGAATCAAAGAGCTTCCCACTGTGAGGGAGCCTAGCTGATGTAAGTGCCCACACCATTTTATGTTCCTGACTCTCCTCCTGCTCTTTTAGATGTGGCAGCCATTTTGTCTTTTGCCATGCCCTCAAGACAGCCATGTAATGTTATTACACCCCCCTACGGCAGCCATTTTGTGTTTTGCTATGACAAGACAGCCATTTTGTGTTATGCCACACACGCCACGGCAGCCATTTTGTGACTGGCGGCCACGACACCGTCTCAAAATGTGCCCATGGACTTTAAAAGATCGACGACCCCTGTGTTATGGATAGTAATTTAACAGAGTGATCAATGACAAAAAGCATGGTTTCGGGTTTTTAAAACTTTTAGTTTACTTCATTGATCAGTTCAGGTAGTAAACATTATATTAATAATAATAATTATAATAATTATAATTATAATTTTAATAAAATGGATATGTTTAAAAGGTTCTGTTCTCTTTGATCACCATGACCAAAAAAAAAAAAAAGTTCAACAGAAATGTACAAAACAAACAAACAAACAAAAAAGCGGTACGGAACAGAGCAAGGCAAGGCGGGTGTCACAGAAGCAATAGCAACAAGCCGCAGTTTACAACATGGCTGCAACGAGTGAGGTGCGAGGGGAAGCCTGAGAAAGGCAAGAGGTCATCACACAGCACAGAGAACAACCTTCCCCCCCTCCTTCCAGGAAAAAAGAAAAAAAAAGGCATGCGGAGTAACTTGTGAGAACAAGCACAAAGCGTGTACCGTTGAATAGCAAACCACCGTTTGTGGGAGCAAATCAGGGTATTGGCACAGATATTGGCTCAGCACCTCCCTGGTGAGGCACAGTCTACCTTGGACCTCTCCAACCCACCACCCACATGCTACTTATGGAAGTTGGAGGCTTGCATCCCCATTGAGACTCTCTTAAGAACATTTAAGAACGGCCCTTGCTGGGTCAGGCTGCTGGCTCTTCCAAATCCAGCATCCCACCCTCACCGCGGCCAAGCAGACACCCCATGAGCAGGACCTAAGTGCAACATCACTCTCTCCTCCAGCGATCCAAAGCAACTGGTTTTCAGAAGCAGCCTACCACCCACAGCGACAGCATTGCCTCGAACACAGCACAGGGAAGAGCAGAGAAGCGCACCTCCTGGGAGGTTGTAAGTAAGTGCAGAAATGTTCAGGCCAACCTAGGAGAAGAAAGCAGCAAATCCATCGGTGTCCTTTGCTTTTGGAGGAGGGTGGAGAAACCGATGACCCTCCAGCTGTCGTTGTTGGGACTCCAGCTCCCATCAGCCCCAGGCAACATGGCCAACGGTCAGGGAATGATGGGAGCTGGAGCCCAGCAATGGCTTGTGCACAGCCACAGGTTTCACCATCCCCAAGTTGCAGTGCTCAAAAACTGGAGCGGGAGGACAGAGGAAAGCACGGTGGGCCTTAATTAAACCCACAAGCCCCGCTGCTGATATCCTCTAATTTTAGCCGTACTCCAACAGCTTTCTAATAAAAATAAAAAATAGGAAGGTGGCGCAAGGCCAACACAAAAGATAAGATGACTGGTCCCCAGCTGCCTGCCTCCTGTACTACAAGCATTGGTTTGTAACAGGCCAAACCATGTGTTGCAGTTAGGGATGGAATGATTTGTCCATTTGAGTTCTCTCCGTTTCCCATTTTTCCAAACTTAAACTCAATTCTCCACATCTCCGCAGCAATTTTAGCTTTAAAGAAATCCTCATGAAAGTTCTTCAGCATCTCAATGTGACTTCCCCCCCCCCCCAATAAGCATCTCTGCGTGTGGAGTTTTGACACATTTTTGCAAAGCCGTTTCTCTTGATATGTGAATGCTATTCCCAATAAAATATTCATTTTTATGTGCTTTCGTAAATGTTGTTTGGTTGGAGACCTGAGCCATAAAACTCGGGTAACTCTGAATTTCGAAGGATTCTGTGCTTTGCTTCTCAGAGTGTTTGAGAAACAGCAAATTTGATGAATTTGGCGTTAAATGAGTACAGAATTGAAATTCTCCTCCATCCCTAATTGCAGCCCATCGGAATTCGTGCAGATGCACCACGGGCCATGGACCTTTCCCATAGACAGCTAGAGAATGGCCAAATGGACTCTACTCTGTTGCAGCTGTGCGTATTAGGGTGTAAGGCAGCTGTCCTTAAGGCAGTGTTTCTCAAACCTATTTAAAACTCATTCATTAAAGGCAGACCAAACCATCTATGTTCCATTTGCCAATGAGCACACAGACTCACACTGAACCTCCTGTTATGAGCTAGAACAAAGAGCCCCTCCCATTTAGAGGCGGGGCCTTAATTTCCATCCAATTATATTTCGCTTCAGCCCATTCAACAATATTTCAAAGCCCTTGGAATGTTTCCAAAAGCACAGGAAGAAGGAAACATCAGAAGAAGAGCTTCACCTTTCATTGAGTCTCAGGATTGTATCCAAGGTACCTGTGGCTCTCCAAGCTGTTGTTGGACTACAACTCCCATCAACCCTGGTCATTTACCATGCTGGGTGGGTCTGATGGGAGCTGGAGTCTAGCAACATCTGGAGGGCCACCAGTTCCCCAATCCTGCCATAGCATCTCATACCTTCTCGAAAGAAGCAGTGGTGGCAACACCAGGAAGTCTCCAACTGCCCCAGGATATTCCCCCTCCTTTGAATTTCCAATGAGCTTCTGTCCCTCAGCTGGAGAACATTAGCTTTTAAGCTTCTGTCTTTAAGGAAAGCCATAGGGCATGGCTGGGGAGGCTGTACCCATCCATACGTTACTGGACTCCAACTCCCATCAGCCCCGGCCAGCATGGCCAATGGCCAGGATGGAGAGAAGCTGTAGTCCAGTAGCATCTGCAGGACCACAGAGGCCCCTCACCACTCCTGCAAGAGAGCATTTCAGCCTAACAGTCGGCCATATAAAACCCAGTGGGACACTGCTGAATTTCAATTTGTCGGACAAATAGCTGGAGCTGAGATTACTCTGCATGTATTAAAGAGCTTGCCAACGTATTTGCATTATCACCAACATTGCTTTGTCCATTGTTCATGGTGTCCTGCCTTGTTCATTGGTTACTGTAACTATGTTGCTTTCAGCTAATCATCACTGCCTGTTCTTTTGACATTCCATTCCCTGCTGACCTCATTCATTCCCGCAACGCTGTGTGTCATAGGCACGCTTGCCAATTTAGGATACACTCTATGCATCTGATGGAGCGGTCCATGTGGCCCGCAGAAACGTATGGCATAACAGATTTATTAGTCTTTCAAGACTCTCTGCTGGTTTTGCTCCAGCAGGCTAGCTCAGAGAGTTCCCACAGTAATGTAGCAGAAACAATGAGCTTTAGATGGCATGTACACAGCCTAAGCAAGGCTGTGGCCTGGTCATGTGGGTTGCTTGCTCTCCTTTGAAGTACCGCCTTATCAGGGAAAGCCACACAGCCTGCAGCTTTTCTCACTGGACGTGAGGCTAGCATGAAAGACACGCAGAATGAGAACAGAGCCGTGGCTGCAGGAGAAGGCAATCCTTATCTCTCGCCAACACTTCCCTGTGCCTTCCAGGATAAAGGGGGTATCATGGAACTTGTCGCCCTGACTGGGGCCCCAAAGAAACAAGAGACAAGGGCTGTATTTATACCATCGTTTTAAAGCCCTATGATGCCACCTTAACATGGTTTCCTGCAAAGCATTCTGGGAGCTGCAGTTGGTTAAGGGTGCCAAGAGTTGTTAGAAGAGACCCTATTCCACACACAGAGCTATAATTTCCACAGCCTGGGAAGGTAGGCCACCTAGGAGAAGGAAAACTCTGGTCCTAAAACTTTGCTGCCTTGTGGGATATCGTCAGGATAAGAAAAGGCTAAGGAGTAAGGTAAAAGGTAAGATAAAGGACCCCTGAACGGTTAAGTCCAGTCAAAGGTGACTATGGGGTTGTGGTGTTTATCTCGCTTTCAGGCTAAGGGAGCCAGCATTTGTCCACAGACAGCTTTCCGGATCGGCCAGCAGGACCGATCCAGCCAGCAGGACTAAACCGCTTCTGGCACAACGAGACACCGTGACAAGTGCTAGAGTGCACGGAAACGCTGTTTACCTTCCCGTCGCAGTGGTACCTATTTATCTACTTGCACTGTTGTGCTTTCCAAGTGCTAGGTTGGCAGGAGCTGGGACAGAGCAATGGGAGCTCACCCCGTCATGGGGATTCGAACTGCCGACCTTCCAAGTGGCAAGCCCAAGATGCTCAGTGGTTTAGACCACAGTGCCACCCGTGTCCCTGTGAAGAGGGACTGGCTGTTAAACTGCTCTGAGAATTGTAGAATTGTAGCTCTGTGGGAGGAACAGGGGTCTCTTAACAACTCCAAACATTTACACTTCCCAGGATTTGGGATGGGGGTGATATGTAGCCTGTTAAAAGTTAGAGCTTTTACTGTAGATTTAGAGGCAGCTTTAAGTAGAATCTGCCTGCCATTTGCTCCAGCTCCTTCTGCAAATGGCCACTCTGCTTTCCACCCAGGGCAGGCTTGCCCATGAGCTGAACTGAAGCCTTGGGTGGCAGAATGCGGAGGAGCGTCTTCCAGTGAGATCTCATGAGAGTTCCACGAGATTTCACTGGAAGCCACCACAGCTACGCAAAAACAAGGCCGCAGTGGGAGGGGGTGGCAGGGAAGCTTTGCCTCAGGTGGCAAAACAGGATGAACCGCCCCTGCTTTCACCCCTGCCAGTCCCAATGGGCACCAGCAACTGCTGTCCCCTCCACCATTGCCCCGTACGGGAGCTGATGGGTTGATTCTTGGGAATGGGACACGGCCGTACATTGCAGCTAAGAGCAGTAAGCTAACTTAAGGGGTTCAGGGTAGGCCTCATGCCACACACAGCTCTGTCCTCCAACACCTCAGCACCATTTGCAACACACTCACAGAATCCACCTGAAGCAGTAGCGGTCATTACGGCCAATGTCAGGGCCGGCCTTTCCTGAGCACAACCATGAGACTCCCCAAGACGCTCTGTGGCTCATCTCGATTTCCTCCAGGCTTTAGCCAGGTGGAACTGAGGTATAAACTAGGGCTGCAACTTGGGACCCTGAGAAGTTTCACTTTCTATAAGGAAAGAAGGAAGTCTGCAGTTTGGTAGACCTGTCAGAGATGTGGTTGAAGACACGCTAGGAGTATTTGTAAAGAAGAAGCAAACAGCTAGGAAATGATTCTGCCACACCCCATGTTCTTGCTGGGGCCGATGTGAGTTGTAGCAGAAACATCTGGAAGGCAGCAGGTCGGCAAAGGCTGTACCAAACTTGGGTCTCCAGCTGTTAGGTAAAGGTAAAGGGGCCCCTGACCATTAGGTCCACTCGTGACCGACTCTGGGGTTGCAGCGCTCATCTTGCTTTATTGGCCGAAGGAGCCGGCATACAGCTTCCGGGTCATGTGGCCAGCATGACTAAGCCACTTCTGGTGAACCAGAGCAGTGCACGGAAATGCCGTTTACCTTCCCGCCGGAGTGGTACCTAGTTATCTACTTGCACTTTAATGTGCTTTCGAACTGCTAGGTTGGCAGGAGCAGGGACCGAGCAACGGGAGCTCACCCCGGCGCGGAGATTCAAAAAGCTGACCTTCTGATTGGCAAGTCCTAGGCTCTGTGGTTTAACCCACAGCGCCACCTGCGTCCCTCTCCAGCTGTTACTGGACTACAACTCCCATCATCCCCAGCTAGCAAGACTGGTGGTCTGGGATGATGGGAATTGTAGTCCAAAAGCAGTTTGGAAAACAGTCCTAAACGAAAGTGTGACACATCTAATGGCAACACGCTATATTCTGCTTGTTTTTCTGTTTAAGATGGGAGGCGAAAGATAGAAACAGAAAGAAAGAGATTTCACCCCACTCCCTGCAAAGGAGGACGATGCTCCCTCCTCTTTAGCAGTGCCGCAAAAGGGTATTTTGATAGGGATATATTCACATTTCTGTTGTGACAGGTTGCTCCTGTAAAAAAATATCCATTTCTAGTCAACAGTTAGAAAAGAAGGAGCCCCATCTCTCTTTTGCATTCGAAAGCAGGTGAGGGTGAAACTTGTGGCCCTCCAGAGATAAACTACAACTCCCATCATCCCTAAACATTGGCCGTGCTGGTTGGGGCAAGTGGGAGTTGAAGTCCAACATTTGGAGGAGCAGGAGGTTTCCCAGCCTGTCCTAAAGGGAGAAGAAGGGTCAAAAGAGCAAAGAAAGCAGAAGGAGCCCTGCAATTTCAAATTAAAAGGTGGGCCCTGGCTACAAGAAAGCTGCAAAAGCTGCACAACACATTCCCCTCTCCCTGGGAGCCTCTGGACACTTTCCGGAGTGTTACACACTTTGCACAGAATTTAAGTTTCCTTGTTGCAGAATGTGGACTTCTGGGTGCGAGGTGTATAAATAATCTCTGGCCGTAAGACTGCCAACTGCTAGCGACAGTAGAAAAAAATCTGCCTCCCCTATTCAGATCTCAGCTGGTTCCATCTGTGATGCCATACATCCTATAGCCACATCTCCTCAGTTCATGCATGTGTAGCTTGCTCTCAGTCTCACTGCATCATGGACTTCGTAGCTGTAACCTTGTGAGCGTCGGGTGCTGGCCTCCAGACTACAAAATCCATGATGCAGCGCAACTGAGCAACTGAGAAAGACTCACGCTAACTCTTTATGCAGCAGACATTTGCACAGTGGCCCAGACTGAAGCAATGCATATTTCTAGAAGCCCACAACCACACGACACAGTCCCAGGTTAGCAAAATACCATGGTTTGCTCCCATCCCAAGTCCATTTTCGGGTAGAATTTTTTAGATCCCTAAAAATGACTTGAGACATTCACTAGAGGAATCCACTGGACAGCGTACAAACCAATTAACACATTTCTCTAGGAATCCAAATTTGCTCCATGGATGGTGAGAGGCGAAGCATGGGCTGAGCGTGCCAAGATGATGCTAAACCTCAAAGTAACTCCCGCCTTGCAGATCCTTACCTCTGCAAGAAGTCCAACAGTTGTACATCACTCAATACAACGCACCTAAAACAAGGGCAGTGGGAGCTGTTTTTTTACTAGGATCCCTCGCCAGCAGGTCTTTTAAGTCCTTCCCCCCCGTAGTGCAAAAAAGAGCCATGAGATTCTTAGTAAAAACATCATCATCATGTCAGGAATGTTTTGAGAAACCATCAAAGAACGCCACACACCCAACCAACTTTTTGCTCATCCTCTCAAAGCGGCTGGTGGGGAGAAGACCAAGGGATGTCCTAGGCAAGAGGTCAGGCTGGTTGGTGCTCTTGTCAGCAGCACTTGGTTCAGAGGTATCGCCGGCCTTCTTGCAAAAGCTTGCCGTGACCTCAGAAAGTTTGAGGACAAAATGGGGGGGGGAGAGCTGGAAAGAGGAGGAGGAGAAGGGTCCCAGCACCTTGGTTAGAAGTAAACAGTTAACGTGCATTTTACACAAGAGTCCTCAAAATCCATGTGCCATAGAAAAGGTGGTTGGTTGGTTTTAAACACCAGAATGCTCCTTAACAACAGTTTAGTACATCTAGGAAAGAGTGGGGACAGCAGGGAACATCCCGATCGTGGAAGAGGTCCACAGCAAGCGACCTCTCTCCCCTCTCGTCTTCCCGCCTTCCCACTAACAGACGTTGCTACGATCGAAATAGAGCAGGGAGTAGCTGACATGGTGTCCTACAGCCATTGCTGGACTGCCAACTTCCTGTGATGGCGTTGCAGTTCGACAGTGTTTGCAGGGCACCACGTTGGCTACCCCTGAATTAGAGAGAGGGAGGAAGGGAGGGAACGGGTGCCGCTCTTGCTCACAAGTCTCTTTGTTTTTGTTTTGTTTTGTTTTGCAACAGGAAAGTCCTTCCTAAAGCATCTGCGATTCCAGCTGAACTGCAGACAGTGACAAGGATGATCCTTTCCTCCGCAACTTCCATCCCAGCTTCCTTTTTTCACTGGTCTTGCATCTGCTGTTTCATTTTCTGCAGCATCTCTTGCATTCTACGCAACTGTAGGAAGAAAAGAGAGGGAGGGGGGAGAGGTTACGCTGTTTATTTGAAACATTGGTATTCCACTTTTCCAGCAATATTCTCTCCCCCACCCCACCCCCGCCGCCAGGCTGCCCCCCATTTCAAGGCCGATTATATTTCTACACTGCATCATGGGCTTTGTAGTCTTCAGTGCTATAGTACAAGCCCCTGAGTCCTAAAAGAAAATGGTGTTGCTGAACTTGTGCAGTGGAGTAAGGAATAAGACCTTCAACATCTGACTCTGAGTACTTACACTGCCAACAATGGAAAATTTGCACTTTCAAGCAGCACAAAAGTCCACTCTTACCTAGAGACATGAACACGCACCACTCTCATTTTGACTGATGGGAACCTGGTGTTTACATTGCTATTGGAGGCTGCTGGTTAAATGTTAAGGTAAAGGTAAAGGGACCCCTGACCATTAGGTCTAGTCGTGACCGATTCTGGGGTTGCGGCACTCATCTCGCTTTATTGGCCGAGGGAGCCGGCGTACAGCTTCCGGGTCATGTGGCTAGCATGACAAAGCCGCTTCTGGCAAACCAGAGCAGCAGACGGAAACACTGTTTACCTTCCCGCCATAGCGGTACCTATTTATCTACTTGCACTTTGACGTGCTTTCGAACTGCTAGGTTGGCAGGAGCAGGGACCGAGCAACGGGAGCTCACCCCATCACGGGGATTCGAACCGCCGACCTTCTGATTGGCAAGTCCTAGGCTCTGTGGTTTAACCCACAGCACCACCTGTGTCATTCCGGTTAAATGTTAGCCTTCTTCAAAAACAGTTGACTTTGGGATTGCACCTATTGGACAGTGCCTGTGCTGTCACTGATGACAAAACGACACACACTTATTACCAACACCAAAGACTGTGGAAGTTCTGAAGACTTAATATGAGTGAGGTTTTCTTCTTCTTCTCCTCTTTTTTCCCTTAATATACTTTCCTAAGTACGCAAATATGCTTTGGGTTAATTGATAAGCCAGGGTGCTGGACCAGAAGGTCCGCTGGCCTGATCCAGCACGACACTTGATCCTTTTTCAAGATGAGAGTAAACAATGGTAGGGTTGCCATATTTGAAAAAGTAAAAACCAAGACACCCGAAAAGTTGTTCAGCCTTTTTTTAGGAAGACCCCAAAATGGTTGAGCTTTTCTTTAGGGGACCACCAAGATTGTTGAGGGTTTTGTTTTGTTTTTTACAAAAACGCCAAAAAAAGTGATTTTTCAGTTGGCTTGCCTAATCATCATCATCATAATAATTAATTTATACCCCACCCATCTGGCTGGGTTTCCCCAGCCACTCTGGGCAGCTCCCAAGAGAATTGATGATGATGACGATGATGATGATGATGATAACAACAACAACAGCAACAACGACAAAACATCAGACATAAAAACTTCCCTAAGATCCAGGACAGAACGCCGCCTTCCAGAAATTCCTTATAACAATGGCAAAGCACACCAGCACACGACAAAACTACCACACACACCCAAACAGCTCCAAATTCAAGAAGAAGATAGCTAGCTTGGGTGATGTCTCAAGAGAGACCAATAGCGAAATGCCTCCTTGCCTCTTCATCTTTCATCTTGATCAGCTTCTCCGTTTCCGCATCCGGTGTTGGGAGCGGCAAAATCGGAATGGGGCTCTCTATCCTGTTATCCTGAGTCAGCTTGCTAAAAACATAAGCAGGAGAAAAAGGGAGAGGGAATTAAGGTGGGTTTCATTAACTCTCCAATCCAGGAGGTTGCTTTATGGCAGTAGTGACGAGTCAAAAGTTCTCAGAAGACACCCTTCTAACAAAATTTCTTTTTCCCACTACCATCCCAGAAAAGAAGAATGTCCCCCTGCAACATTTATCCATTCATTCACCAACAATCTTGGACCTGCTGTTGCTTGGGAGCTCTAAGCGCAACAACAGAAAATCAGTGCAAAGTTTAAATATGTGGTTAAAATCAGTGCAATTTTTAAAAGGTTCAGTCTGCCATCTTGATTCAAACTAGTGTCCCATTGTATCAAAACATTGGGGGGGGGGGGGAGTTTTGAAGAAAACCTTCTCCATAATTTCAGGAACCGCCATGCAAAATTTGGTTGAAAACAGTGCAGGCTTGAAAGGTTCAGTCCACCATATTGATTCAAAATGGTGTCCGATTGTGTCCAAACATGGATGGAAGCCTGCTCCTTGATTTCAAGTGCCACCATGCAAGATTTAGTTACAGGTAAAGGTAAAGGGACCCCTGACCATTAGGTCGGTCCAGTCGTGACCGACTCTGGGGTTGCGGCGCTCATCTTGCTTTACTGGCCAAGGGAGCCGGCGTCCAGCTTCCGGGTCATGTGGCCAGCATGACTAAGCCACTTCTGGCAAACCAGAGCAGCGCACGGAAACACCATTTACCTTCCTGCAGCAGTGGTACCTATTTATCTACTTGCACTTTTACGTGCTTTCGAACTGCTAGGTTGGCAGGAGCTGGGACTGAGCAACAGGAGCTCACCCTGTCGTGGGGATTCGAACTGCCAACCTTCTGTGGTTTATGCCCAAATGCATAGTGAACAAATGAACAGTTTTCCAAAATATATAGTTGATTCACTCATCCAGCCAACCATCAACTTTAAATCTCAATCTGGTTTAAGGAGATAACAGAAATCACTGGGTTAAAGCTGACCAAATGTTCAGCAGTAGCATTATTATCAATTTATGATGGGGTGGAAGGTTCGCAGGCTATGGAGGACTTGCTCACAAATTTATTGACAGCTGCACAAATTATTATAGCCAGGAAGTGGAAGGGGCAAGCAGAATATAAAATGGAAGAATGACATAAAGAGGTGTGGGATATAGCTATGAATGATAAATTCACATGTGCCATTAAGGTAAGGCAGGGAACATGCAGGAGAAATGATTTTGAGGAGATATGGAGGCTGTTTGTAGAATTTGTACTGTTAAAACAGAAAGGGGTCAAACCATCACCAGAGGTGTTAAAATTTTGGGAGGTTGGGTAGTTACAATGGAATGGTCTCGGTGGTGGGGTGCACATTTTTTTTCTTATTTATTTATGATTATTACTTTGTAAAAAAGAAACTCAATCCGAGGCAAATGGCTGGTAACAACAAAGAAGAAATAAAGATTCTAGTCCTCATGTTTTTAAGTAAAGGGCTGAATTAAAGAGAAATAGAGGCTCCACCACTGAGCTATGGCCCTTCGCTGAAATGTTGCATGTCACATTTTCAGAAGAGAAATCATCCCGCTTTCAGAAGACGTTTGCCACACAACAACAACAGCTCTAAGCATAGCTGTCAACTTACAGATTTGACAATAAGGGACCAGCAGCCTCGAAAATAAGGAACCAGCAGCCAAAATAAGGGATTTTAGTCAACCAGCTCCCGAGCCAAAGGCAGAAAGCCCAGCCAGCCCAGGAGCCAAACGAAGCCTCAAGTGGTGGTTCCCACAGAGCAGCAAACCGGCAAAGGGGTGCGGCAAGGAAAACCACCGTCACCTCTCCGCTAGGAAGCGCTGAGCAAAGGCGAGTCCCCAGGCAACACGGCCGATTTGATCGGCACAAGGCATGCAAGCTCCACCCCCCAGTCGTTCTTAGACTCCTTATTGGGTGAGCAACACAGCCAAGCAACACAGTTGGAGCCTCCCTCCGCCCTGGCCGGCAGGGAGGGAGGGAGAGGAGCTGCTTCCTTTGAAACCCGGGAAATTTAAGGGACATCATCAATAAGGGACAGCAGCAGGACACGGCGCTGGGATAAGGGAGTTTCCCACCGAATAAGGGATGGTTGACAGCTATGGCTCTAAGGGCTGATTCACACAGACGCATTCATCCCTTGAGGGAGCAGAACCTCAGGTGGACCCTACCTGGTCATCTGCTGGATGCACTGCGCCCGATAGTTCTCGTAGTGAACGTCGCAGGTGACGTCCTTCAGGTCGTGCATGTGCGTTCGGATCAGCATGTTCCGCAGTTTCACAAAGTCACAGTGCGCCTGGTTTTCCACTGAGGAAGCAGCAACAACAGACATTGTTTGGCAGACAGCAACAAAGAAACAAATCTCGGGTAAGGAGGGGAATGTATGCACCAGAATCCCCCTTTACATCCTAACCGTATTCAGTTATTTCAAACACACACACACACACACACACACACACACACACTAATGTGTCTGACTGTAAAAGGAACTGTGTTAGAGAATAAATGTGACAAGCACAGCTAAGCTGTGGTGGAAGGAAATCCACCGGTTAGCTCATTTCAGACACATTCCTCTGACATGCCTAGGGGAACCCATGAAAAGAAATACGCAATTTCAAGGGGATGTGGCTTTTTTAATTGCATACGACGCATGTGTGCATGTGCGTTTGTGTGTGTGGAGGCTGGTCCCTGTTTAGGGAAGCTTTTAATGTTTGATGCATTACTGTATTTTAATATTTTGTTGAAAGTCGCCCAGAGTGGCTGGGGAAGCCCAGCGAGATGGGCGGGGTATAAATAAATTATTATTATTATTATTATTATTATTAGGGCAGATGAGGCACTTTGCAGACACCAGTGGAAGTCACCAAAGGAGCCACTGCCGCCACAGGTCCAATCATGAGCTTCGCATCCTCACAAATTGCTAAGTCTCCAATTAGTCGAGATGGCATTGTTCCACATCCCCTCTGTTAGAGATTGGGAACATACACATGGCCTCATCAGATTACAATACGGCCCAGGGTTATGCTCCAACACTAGCCTGCAAGAGGCCTCTGAAGCAGGGGGGTGGGGAGAGATCTGGCCCCTCAGGTGTTGTTGGACTACAGTTCCCATCATCTCTCTCTACTGGCCATGGTGGCTGAGGCTCATGGGAGCTGGAGTCCACAGCATCTACAGCAGGGCAGTCCAACCTTTCTGACCACGCGGGCCGCAAGAGTACTTTGACACAGAACCTGCGGGCCGCGCACTGAATTTAATTCTCACATCATAAATGAAAGAGTTTGCAATATAGTTAATACTATTTAATTCACACAATTAATATATTTAATTGGACGACTCTGATCTAGAGGTTGGGGGAGATTGTTTTAAAAGCTTCCCCAGCAAGCACGTTCTGAATTTTTTGACCATTGGCTCTCTGAATTCCATTGATGCTGCTTGCCATTTTAGCATATCGTGTTACAGTGGTACCTCAGGTTAAGTACTTAATTCGTTCCAGAGGTCCATTCTTAACCTGAAACTGTTCTTAACCTGAAGCACCACTTTAGCTAATGGGGCCTCTTGCTGGCGCTGCACCACTGGAGCACGATTTCTGTTCTCATCCTGAAGCAAAGTTCTTAACCTGAAGCACTATTTCAGGGTAGGCAGAGTCTGTAACCTGAAGCGTATGTAACCTGAGGTACCACCGTATTTATATCATGCTTTTAGCGCTGTGGTTGTTACGCGCTTGTTGCCGTTACTTGCTTAATTGTTTGCTGGGTTTCGTTAGCTGCTTTGAGTGCCCCCGTTGGAGGGGAGGAAAAGCAGAGTATTATTTCATTTATTTGTTTTAATTATATATATATATATACCCTGCTCTTCACCACACCTGGGTCCTAAATCTCCTTGCAAAAACAAAAATATACGATATACAAAATTTAGAACATGAATTAAAACACCGGGAGAATAAAACAGCATTTGTGGTGGTGCAAAGGTCTCCTGAAATAAAACTGCTTTCACCTGGTGCCTGAAACCTACCAGAGGCAGCAGGTGTGCTGGGTTCTTCCCAACATTGCGGGTGCCCAATGCGTGGGCATGACTGGTAGGAGCCCCGACGCACCCTCCGAAAGGTCTGTCAGGGCCTGTTGCAACTGCGACAGGCTCCATCAGGCCCTACCACTGCTGCCACAGGTTCCAACAGAGCCTCACCTGCAGCGGGAGGGCCCATCAGAGCTCACTGCAGTCAGAGTAGGGTCCGCTAGAGCCAAGGGTACCACCTCGCCCTCAGGATTGTGGGTGCCCGCTGCCATAACGCAGATGTGTGACGTCACATGCGCAAACCTGCACATGCTGGACACTGAGGTCTAGCTCCAAGGGCCTTCTGGCAGTTCCCTCACTGTGAGAAGCAAAGTTACAGGGAACCAGGCAGAGGGCCTTCTCAGTGGTGGCACCCGCCCTGTGGAACGCCCTCCCACCAGATGTCAAAGGGGAAAACAACTACTAGACTTTTAGAAGACATCTGAAGGCAGCCCTGTTTAGGGAAGTTTCTAATGTTTGAAGTTTTGTCGTGTTTTTAATATTCTGTTGCGAGCCGCCCAGAGTGTCCGGGGAAACCCAGCCAGATGGGAGGGGTATAAGTAATAAATTATTATATTAACATTACAGTGGACGCTCAGATCCGTGAGGGAAGCACGTTTGCAACCCACAGCGCTGTGTCTGCGCACACTCGGGTCGCAATTTGGCGCTTCTGCACAAATGCAAAGCGCGATTTAGTGCTTCTGCGCATGCACAAAGGACAATTTAGCATTTCGGTACTTCCGGGTTCGGCGCAGTGCGCAACCTGAAATTGCGCAACCCAAAGCATCTGTAACCCGTGGTATGACTGTATTACATGTGCGTGTGACATCACACATCCGTGTTGTGCTGGCCGGTGGTGGCTCTTCTCCGCAGTCAGTGAGGCACCCTATTTCTGCAGGGAAGGGCTCAGAGAGACGCTGCCTCCATGTCTCACACACACACACCCATAAAAGGGTGCCTCGCTGGCTGGCTGCAGAGTGTGGATGCCTTCTCATTGACTCTGTGGGTGCCCAGCCCCCAGAATTATATTCTTGTGGGTGTCCAATCACCCACGGCCGCCTGCAATTGGCTCCCACGGCTGGAGCCCGCCCAGCTGTGGAACATTGAGGGGGCCCGTTGAATTTTTTTGTGGGTGCCCTGCAGAGATGGCACCGTGAGAGGCAGCGAATGTCTGACTTCTAATAGTTCCATAACGCTGGACCCACCACACTGAAAACACAACTCCTCGTTGACATGAGTCGTGCTTCTGGTCCATGGGGGACTGCTAATAGCAGAAATCAGAGTAGAATTAAATAGTATAAATAACTGAGGCATGGGCTTTCTGCTCTGGGTTGGCACTCGGAGGTAGAATGCCCCTGAACCAGAAGGTTCCATTTAGCTAGGAGGGCCAAACAGCTTTTAGGAGACCCAGCGTCCAGGACTGCCATCTCGCTTCCCAGGAACATGGCTCACCTTCCACGATTCCCCAAGGGTAGAGCCGCCCTCGTACCCTCTGACCTTTGGCCTCCACCACCGTGTTGCTGCCGATGACTGCGAAGGGAGCACTTTCCTGGAATGGGAGGAGAGATAATTTCAGGGTTTATTGGACATGGTCAGACATGGACCCAGAAAGAAGCTAGAGATCAGAGCAGTTGGAGAAGACCAGTGGAAGAAAAGAAGATTTAAGGAAGCAGAGTGAGGGATTCCTCAGTTTTCTTGGCCCAGGGTTCAACAATTCCCATCAGCTCCAACCCCTGGCCGTTTCGGTTGGGAGTGATGGGTCTGGGAGTCCAATAACATCTGGACGGGCAGATGTGGTCCATATTGCTTTAGATGTTTGCCTGACATGCTGAAGGAGGGACAGGACCATGTTCACACATCAAGTGTGGGTATTACACGATAACATTTGTGTCCAAATTCATATTTTGTGATTCAACACATACTGTATTTTTCCGTGTATAAGACGAGGGTTTTTTAATTATAAATAAATGTTAAAAACTGAGGTTCGGCTTATAAATGGATAGTACAGAGGGGGAACGGGCGATTGGTGGCAGCCATGAGCAGGAGATTGTCAGTGGCGATTGGGCGAGTGATTGGTGGCTGTGTCAAGGCCTGCTGGCAATTGGCTGCTGCTGCGGCAATTGGATGGGCAATTGGCGGCAGCTGGTGGCAAGCGGGCAGACGATTGGTGGCTTCGGCAGGCGATTGGCATTGGCGGCAATCCCCCCCCCATAAAAAAGCTCAACAACTCTGGGCAATCTCCCCCCCCTTAATTCCTTAATTTGTAGTCCCCAAAAATAGGGGCCGTCTTATACACATGGGTGTGTTATACACCAAAAAAGACAGTACTTAACTAATGCACACTTAACAAATTTTCACGGCCCTCTAGTGGCTATGGTGGAAGTAATGTGTTAGTGTTAACTCTGAAAGTGTATACTCAATTCTGACCAAACTAAGCCTCTTAATGTATATTTTGCTCTAGGAAGTTTAGTTGGCTCAGAATCAAGTATACACTTCCAGGGTTAATATTAAACACATTATTACTTCTGGTAAATGAGCCAGCATAACTGCTAGAGGGCTGTGAAAATTTGCGTCCCAGGCTTTTAAAGACTCAGCTACACGGGTACAGTGGTAACTCCGGTTGCGAACAGGATCCGTTCCGGAGGTCCGGCCGCATCCCGAGTAATTCGCAACCGTACAGAAACATTTGCACTAAAATGCTGGTGAATTTTCATTACGATAAAATTGCAAACTGATGTGAAAATGCGGGAAACTTAAGACAGACAAAATGAAAAGCTGAAACAACCCCAAATTGACAGGTTGTCTCATCCCTAACCATGACCAAGTATTATGGGAAATATTTTTGCCCCTTCCTCACCTTCAGCTCTCTGTCTTGTTGTTTGAAGTCCTCGTCTTCGTCAGAATCGCACTCAGGAAACTGGTAAACTTTAATTCCAAACTTGTCGATCTCCTCCCTGATCTGCACAGGAATATCCAGGAAGGAGAAAACAGGAAGAACACTCACATTACAACATAATACTTGGCTGGTGCCATAAAGAGAAACCTTTAAAGCAGGAGTAGGGAAACTTTTCCAGTCCAAGGGCCACATTCCCTTTGGGGCAATCTTCCAGGGGCCACACACCACTTGCTTTCCCCCACATCAGACCAACGCATAGCTGTCAACTTACAGATTTGAAAATAAGAGACCAGCAGCCTCGAAAATAAGGGATCAGCAGCCAAATTAAGGGATTTTGCTATTGTAAAGAGTTACATACATTGGTAGGATTGACAGATGCTGTCAATCCGGCATGAGGCAGTCGTGGCATCACCGTGGCCGCTGAAGCGCCGCCCTTCTGCGTCCCTCCCTATCCCTTCCTCTTCCTCCTCCCTCAGGCCACCTCCTCAGCTGCCACCACTGCCACCTCCAGGCCCGTGGGCGAGAGTCTCTCTCCCTCCCCCCCTCTCTCGGGCGGGGAAGGGCCGATGGAACTCCTCACGCCAGGACGACGGTGCCAGCACGGGCACTCTCGCGCGGCGGAGGACCCTGAGCTGCTGCTTCCCTCCCAAGCCGGGTGAGCATGAAACCCGGGAAATTTGAGGGACATCATCAATAAGGGACAGCAGCGGGACACGGCGCTGGGATAAGGGAGTTTCCCACCAAACAAGGGACGGTTGACAGCTATGGACCAATGAGCCCAGTATTATTTAGTGTGGGCCAAAAAGGAAGCACACCCTCATCCCTACATCAGAGCATTGTTACAACTGGTTTCTTGCAAGCTGCTTTGAGAATCACATGACTGAAAGGCGAGCTACAAGCCAGCCTTCCCCAACCCGGTGCCCTCCCACTGTTCTGGGCTAAATTCAAGGTGTCACCATTTAGTACAAGGGTCGTCAACATTTAGTACAAATGTCATAGGCTACTACTGCCATCTTACCTGATGGTTGGCCACACTGACTGGGGCTGATGGGAGTTGTAGTATATGTAGAGGGCACCACACTGGCTACATCTATATTAAGTATGTCAAGTCCTCAACAGCTTGGGACCAGTTTACTTGAACTGCCTTACTCCACAAGTGCCCGCTTGACTGCTTCGATCTATAGAACTGACACTTTCACAAGAGCTACGTAATGTTGGTTCCACACTTGTAAACTGTCGATCCTTCGGTGTGGCAGCACCTCCTCTGTGGAACTCCCTGCCCAATGACTTTAGATTATTATATTATTTTTGGTGACTGTTAAAATGGTGCTTTGTTTAAGCAAGCCTATTCAGGCATGTCAATTTATTGTGTATACAGTCGTACCTTGGAAGCCAAATGGAATCCGTTCCGGAAGTCCATTTGACTTCCAAAACGTTTTCAATATGTTCTGTCCCCTCCCCCATGCTTTTCAACATCTACGTGCAGCCGCTGGGAGAGAACATCAGGGGGGTTGGGCTGGGTGTCCATCAATATGCGGATGATACCCAGTTCTACCTATCTTTCAAATCAGAACCAGTGAAGGCAGTGAAGGTCCTGTGTGAGTGCCTGGAGGCAGCTGGAGGATGGATGGCGGCTAACAGATTGAGGTTGAATCCTGACAAGACAGAAGTACTGTTTTTGGGGGACAGGAGGCGGGCGGGTGTGGAGGACTCCCTGGTCCTGAATGGGGTAACTGTGCCCCTGAAGGACCAGTTGCACAGCCTGGGAGTCATTCTGGACTCACAGATGTCCATTGAGGCGCAGGTCAATTCTGTGTCCAGGGCAGCTGTTTACCAGCTCCATCTGGTATGCAGGCTGAGACCCTATCTGCCCGCGGACTGCGTCACCAGAGTGGTGCATGCTCTGGTTATCTCTCGCTTGGACTACTGCAATGCGCTCTATGTGGGGCTACCTTTGAAGGTGACCCGGAAACTACAACTAATCCAGAATGTGGCAGCTAGACTGGTGACTGGGAGTGGCCGCCGAGACCACATAACACTGGTCTTGAAAGACCTACATTGGCTCCCAGTACATTTCCGAGCACAATTCAAAGTGTTGGTGCTGACCTTTAAAGCCCTAAATGGCCTCGGCCCAGTATATCTGAAGGAGCGTCTCCACCCCCATTGTTCTACCCGGACACTGAGGTCCAGCACCAACGGCCTTCTGGTGGTTCCCTCACTGCAAGAAGCCAAGTTACAGGGAACCAGGCAGAGGGCCTTCTCGGTAGTGGCACCCGCTCTGTGGAACGCCCTCCCACCAGATGTCAAAGAGAACAACAACTACCAGATTTTTAGAAGACATCTGAAGGCAGCCCTATTTAGGGAAGCTTTTAATGTTTGATGCATTACTGTATTTTAATATTTTGTTGGAAGCCGCCCACAGTGGCTGGGGAAGCCCAGCCAGATGGGTGGGGTATGAATAAATTAGTAGTAGTAGTAGTAGTGGTATGTATACACCCAGGTATGCTGGCTGGGGCAGATGGGAGTTGTAGTCCAAAAATCTAGGAAGGCGCCAGGTTGAGGAAGAATGGTATAAATCTTCAAAACAAATGAATGAATGAATCAGCACTACCACTGCTCACCCGCTCTTTTAGCTTCTTGATCTCAGAAGGAATGAGGCAGTCGGCTTTGGCAATAAGGGGAACAATGTTCACTTTTTCATGCAGAGCTTTCATGAACTCCACGTCTACCGGCCTCAGCCTGCAACAAAGAAATGTGGCGTTAGAAGGCAAGCAATCTCTATTTTTCCCTGCACGCTAGCAAGGGGAACTTTCTGCCAAAAAAAAAAAAAAAGGACAGGACTTCCTCTTATAACAAGTCCCTTTTCCTAGAAGGGCAGCTTGGAAATATTAGACTCTAAGCTTAATGGCTTTGTGGGGAACTTCCTGCTTCCTCTTCAGATCGTAATGTGTGTGCTTATTTTAAAATGTAGCAATCCGGTCCCGTTGCGTCTGGGAGCCCCTCCTGGTCATTCTGTGGAGTGGCAGACTTCCAGTCTGCCTTAAAGTCCAGTACTGATGGCACCAATGCCCTGTGGCTCTTACTGTCTTATATCAGGGGTAAGGAACCTTCATCCCATGGGTCTAATAAGGCTCATCAGGTCTCTCCCATTTGACCCACAAGCCCATTTGGGTCAAGCCACACCCATCTGCCCTTCACCTGATGCCATATTGAATATTCATCCTTACATTTTCCATTACAGTGGTACCTCGGGTTACAAACACCTCGGGTTACAAACACTTCAGGTTACAGACTCCGCTAACCCGGAAGTAGTACCTCGGGTTAAGAACTTTACCTCAGGATGAGAACAGAAATCACATGGTGGCAGCGTGGCGGCAGCGGGAGGCCCCATTAGCTAAAGTGGTGCTTCAGGTTAAGAACGGTTTCAGGTTAAGAACGGACCTCCAGAGCGAATTAAGTACTTAACCCAAGGGACCACTGTGTTACATTTGCATCCCACTGTTCCTCCAAGAAGCTCAATGTGGATTTTACCCTCATAACAACCCTGAAATGTAGGTTAAGGCCAAGAGAAGGTGAATGGCCCAAGGTCACTGGGGTTTCATGGCTGAATGAGGACTTGAACTCATGTCTCCAGGGTGCTAGTCCCGCACTCTAACCACTACGCTACACTGGCTCCAGGGTATGCAAGGCAGATAAAGGAACAAGCCCATACCACCTTACCCATGGCCAAAGGGAGAGATGAAGTAGAGGCAGCAGTGCACCCGGTTGTCCTGGATGTTCTTCCGATTGAGGCCGCTCTCATCCCGGAAGTACTGTTCGAACTGCTGGTCAATGTAATCCGTGATGGCCTTCCAACTAGAGCAAGTCACAAGGAAAAGATGGCAATGGGACATCAGTTAGATGGTACTTGGGGACAGAGGATAACACACATTAACAGAAGAGAGATCCCTTAGATCCAGTGTAGAAATCGCTGAACTAAATATTGCCTATCATAGAGAAAGAACATAAAGAATTTGCATCCTGTCTGTCGACAACTGCAAGGATGTTAATGGCTCAAAACTGGAACGTTATGTTACTCCCTTCTTGGGAACAACAGTTTGGGACTGGACCGTGATAGCAAAAATAACTTATCTAAGAGCAAGAATTGCAGTTCCATATAGAAACAAATTCTGGGGAAACAGGTTGCCCCTTATACAGCGTTGTCAAGAAAATAATTACCTTCCATGAAAGCAAATTCAAGGAGGTTTTGAGTTTTTGCACTAAAATGTAAACATGGGGGGTAATATTACAGGTGTATGTTATTTCTTTCAGCTTTCACAGAGCTGCTGAAAGGGCTACTGAGAAGATATGCAAAGTGCTTTGCTTTGCTCTATGTGGGGCTGCCCTTGAGACTGACCCAGAAACTCCAGCGGGTGCAGAATGCCACAGCGAGACTCCTTACGGGGTCCTCGCTGCGAGATCACATTTACCTGGTGCTATACCAGCTGCACTGGCTCCCGGTGGAGTACAGGATCAGGTTTAAGGTGCTGGTTTTAACCTTTAAAGCCCTATGCGGCCTAGGACCCTTGTACCCACAGGACCGCCTCTCCTGGTATGTCCCACAGAGGACCTTACAGTCTTCAAACAAAATCATTTTGGAGGTCCCGCGCCACAGAGAGGTTAGGCTGGCCTCAACCAGAGCCAGGGCTTTTTCGGCTGTGGCTCCGATCTGGTGGAACGCTCTGTCACAAGAGACTAGGGCCCTGCGGGACTTGACATCTTTCCGCAGGGCCTGCAAGACAGAGCTGTTCCACCAGGCCTTTGGCCAGGGCACAGCCTGACCCCCTCCTCTGGCAATCCTCACAGAACTCTAGCCCAATGGTTGCCATTAATCTGATTTGAATTGATTTTGAATTGATTTTATAATGAAATGATTTTAGAATGTTGTATCATTTTAATGTTGTTAGCCACTCTGAGCCCGGCTTTGGCTGGGGAGGGCGGGATATAAATAAAATATTATTATTATTATTATTATTATTATTATTATTATTATTATTGATCACTTAAACCTCTTTGCATATCTTATAGGCCAGTTTGCACTGGTATTGCAAATAGCATACGAAAAGGGGGAAATAGTCTATTGGAGAGAAACCAGACCGTGCCTCACAATTTCCCCTGCAGCAGAGGTAACCAAACTGGTGTTGGGGTAGGACTCACCACTCAGTATTGTTCACAGCATCTCCAAACCCTGGCGTGTCGACAATTGTTAACTTCAACTTCACCCCCTTCTCCTCGATGTCCACCGTGTGTTTCACAATCTCTACTGTCTGACTGATTCTTTCTTGATATACAAAGATGGAAGGAAAAGTATAACGGAGGTTAGCGCCAGAGAGGTCCCTCCCCTACCTCCAAATCGGCCTCACTATTTATGATTAGTTGCCAGGTCTTTCTTTCTCTCCTCTCCTTCCCCAAAATGGGATTCCCCTGCCTCCCACCCACCCACCCACCCCAAAAAAGGGGATCCAGTGAGGTTGATTAGCTTCATGTCTGTCCAGGGAAAACTGGTGGAAAGGGTTGTTAAAGAAAAAAATAATGGAGCATATAGAAGAACAAGCCTTGCTGGAGCATAACCAGCATGGCTTCTGCAAAGGAGGAAGCCCTTGCTTGAGGGCTTCCTATAAGTATCTGATGGCCCACTGGCTTGACCCAGCAGGGCTATTCTAACACTCATAATTGTTCTGGTAGCTTTGAACTCTCAAGGAAACCTGTGCCCCTCCAGTAGTTGTTGGGACTTCAGCTCCCATCATCCCCTGACCATTGATGATGCTGGTTGGAGCTGATGGAAGTTGGAAACAAACAACATCTGGAGGGTCTTAGAGACCAACTTAGAGGTGTGCATGCACACGAAAGCTCATACCAATAACAAACTTAGCTGGTCTCTGCGGTGCTACTGGAAGGATTTATTTTATTTTTTTGGTTTTGTTTTGACTACGGCAGACCAACACGGCTACCTACCTATATCTAGAACATCTGGAGAGTCACAGAAACTCCCCCCCCTTCTTTTGAACATTCTTAGCTTGGCTTTGTAGAATTAGCTCCCACATCATCCATGTGGTTGATGCATCTATATCAATAGTCTTCAACCTTTTCAGATCTAGGATCTACCTTTAACCAAAGCATGCATTTGCAGACCCACTTAATTTTTTACCATATATTTAAATGGTGGTAGTGCTGCTGTTGCTACTCACATTAAATCAGGTCATGATCAAGTCATAACCTACTGGTTGAAGACACTATTATTGCTCTGCTCAGTAACAAAGAGGCAACATTTCAAGCAACTGATGCTAGAAGCAGATCCCAGTTTCTCAAGCCTAGGTTCCACTGTGGCTACAAATCTGTGCCAGGGCTATAGCACTTCAAGCCGCAAGACAAGACACAGAATCCTAGCTGACAGCAACGGCAGGAAACAGCACCACCTACTGGTCGGAGGTGTTGCCTGTCTGATCACGGGCAAATACCTTCAGCATTGAGAAGTTTTCGGTCTTTGTAGAGGTCTGTCAGGAACAAGCTGTTTACCAAAGTAGATTTACCCAGGCCCGACTCTCCTAAAAAGGGACAGGCGCAAATACCAGGTTAAAAGAACATCTTGGACAAGAGGTTTTCATGCTAAATTCCAAGATTATGCATTTGTTACTCTTCAGGAATGGCACCAGGGAGGTAGATTATCGTCCCCCAAGCAGGAAATGTTTCCATGTAGAATGCTCTGTCCTTGGATTGACACAATATCTCATCGCCACAAATCTAGTTTGTCTTGTTCACAATGCTCACATAAGATGCTGTTATTTCAGCAGGGAAAGATTCAAAGGCATTGATTTGGCCAAGGACACACAGAGGGTGACCCCTGAGAGCCTCTAGAAGCGGACTATACTCAGGCCCCATCTACACTATGCATTTAAAGCAGGATCGTACCATCCTGGCTACCCCCAAAGAATCCTGGGAGCTGTTGGTTTCCTAAGGCTGCTAAGAGTGGTGAGGAGTCCCCTATTCCCCTCTCAGAGCTATAATTCCCAGAGTTCCCTGGGTCATAGCTGTCAACTTAAAGATTTGAAAATAAGGGATGAGCAACCTCAAAAATAAGGGATCAGCAGCCAAAATAAGGGATTTTCAGAGCACAGGTATGTTCAACTTCTGAGCCCCTCCGAGACAAAGGCAGAAAGCCCAGCCAGCAGCCAAACGAAGCCTCAAGCAGTGGTTCCCACAGTGCAGCAACCCGGCAAAGGGGATTCAGCAAGGAAAACCACCATCACCTCTCCGCTGGGAAGCACTGAGCAAAGGCGAGTCCCCAGGCAACGCGGCTAATTTGATTGGCACAAGGCATGCAAGTTCCACCCCGCAGTTGTTCTTAGACTCCTTACTGGGTGAGCAACGCAGCCAAGCAACACAGTTGGAGCCTCCCTCCTCCCTGGCCGGCAGGGAGGGAGGGAGAGGAGCTGCTTCCTTTGAAACCTAGGAAATTTAAGGGACATCATCAATAAGGGACAGCAGCGGGACACGGCGCTGGGATAAGGGACTTTCCCGCCAAATAACGGACAGTTGACAGCTATGCCCTGGGTGGAGGGATTGATTGTTAAACCAATGGGCTGAGAAAACCTGAAAGACCACCTCCATCCCAACAGACCCTCCTTAGATCAGCACAGAGGTCTCCCTCTCTTGGTAGTTCTGCTGGGGAGTCTCACCTGCCACCATGAGGGTGAAATCAAAGCCCTTCTTCACAGATTTCCGGTGCACCTGGTTGGGGAGAGTGGCAAACCCCACATACTGCTTTTCGTGGTCCTGCAAGAAGGATAGCAGCAGCCATTGGTCACCTTCTTATTGCTGCTTTTTAAAACATTTAATTAGCTGTTTTACGGCTCCCCCAATCGAAAAAGGCAGAGAATCAATATCCTTACTGCAATAAATAAGGAAGTCGTTTTGAAATTAATTCAAGTCAATCAAAATGGAAAAGTTATTATTATTAATTGTTGCTGTCATTTACGTTTTACGCCACTTGATACCAGGCTTCTAAGCAGTCTACAAGTACAAAAACCAGCTGCGCAAACATGAAAATATAAACATTCATCATTAAAACAATCCCATGAAAATATTAAAATGTAAACATCCGTAATTTAAAAAATGTGCAATGGAACAACCCCATTAAAACAGGAGACTCAGGACAAGAGGTGAGGGATGAGATGAAGTGAAACAAGGCTCCAGATTCAGAGGAAATCGGCAGATTCCAAATATTGGGGAGACAAGGGTTTCAGAAGTACACTGATGGACCTGTGCAGCCAACAGAAGGAGGTGAGTTCGGATCCTCAACAGGTCCGTTGTAGCCCAGTTCTGCAGTGGTGGTGGCAAGCAGAAATATTTCCAGCTGCCACTCTTCCCGCCCACCTCCAACCCCTTCAAAAGAAACCCCTCCCTTGGGAAAAACACTATAGAGCTGTTGACATGGTGCATTCAGCAAGTGTACGAGCTGAGTAGCCGTGCATGCAGATAGTTGAGCCGTATTCAGGGCCGGATTTAGGTTTGATGAGGCCCTAAGCTGCTGAAGGTAATGGGGCTCTTTATATGTCCAGCTGTCCTTTGTCAACAACAAGTTTTCACTGTTTTTTTGTGTTGAATATATGCTATATGGTAATTTATAGACCTAAGGTAAAGGTAAAGGTACCCCTGACTGTTAGATCCAGTCGCGGACGACTCTGGAGTTGTGGCGCTCATCTCGCTTTATTGGCCGAGGGAGCCGGCGTTTGTCCACAGACAGCTTCCAGGTCATGTGGCCAGAATGCCTAAGCCGCTTCTGGCAAACCAGAGCAGTGCATGGAAACGCCATTTACCTTCCCGCCGGAGCGGTACCTATTTATCTACTTGCACTTGACATGCTTTCGAACTGCTAGGTGGGCAGGAGCAGAGACCGAACAACGGGAGCTCACCCCATCGTGGGGATTCGAACCACTGACCTTCCGATCGGCAAGCCCTAAGATCAGTGGTTTAGACCACAGCACCACTAGGTATCTAAAGCCATTTGCACATGTTGCCATGCAACCAGTCCATGCAGAATGTAGGCACCTATATATAGAAATGAGCAAACCAGTGGTATTTTAGGGAGCAGGCTAGCAGGCGGGGCCCATTACTTACGTCATAGGAGCCTACACAACACAAAACACTGTTGCTGTATGTAGGTTTTATTTTATTTGTTTTTTATCTTATATTTTGGAAATGTACATCCAGTTGTTTTTTTCCTTTAAATTTTTTGGGGGGCCGCAAGAGAGTAGGGCCCTAAGCTATAGCTTGTTTAGCTTATAGGTAAATCCCGCACTGGCCCTACTGTACAGTTATTCACATATAACGTTCAACAAGTGTAGTCTCTGTACTCTACAGCTGATCAATACAATCAATACACACTGACACACGAGGTTTGTTCAGCCATCACACTGAACACAAGTACAAGCTGTCTCTACTGGTGTATCAGTGGTTGTGTGAAAGAAACGTCCGCTTATATTGATTTGTGCAGCTTGTACACAGGTTGAAAGTTCATACACCCACCAGATGTTACGTGTGAAGCACTGTACAAGTGAACAGGCTCAAATATTTGTGTACACGGGAGCACAGGTAGCACGCTCGCTTAATGTAGCATGTGCAGACACTGTACATCATCTGCCTCCCATTGGAAAAAATGCCCAAATGCCACCCTCTTTTCAACGTCTGCAAATAAAGTGGGGGAAGGGGAAGGTTAGGTCAGCTTGGCCTACACAAGCACATTTGAGAATCCATCTGACAACCTGAACAACTGCAAGGTGGGTGGGTGGATGATTGGCACAGCCACAAAGCAGTGACTGGAGATCAACCGTCACAGAACAACAGCTTTCCTCCCCTCTTAAGCAAGACACTTTACAAGCGGAAACTTGTAATCCAGAATGCGGCAGCTAGACTGGTGACTGGGAGCGGCCACCGAGACCACATAACACCAGTCTTGAAAGACCTACATTGGCTCCCAGTACGTTTCCGAGCACAATTCAAAGTGTTGGTGCTGACCTTTAAAGCCCTAAACGGCCTCAGCCCAGTATACCTGAAGGAGCGTCTCCACCCCCATCGTTCAGCCCAGACACTGAGGTCCGGCTCCAAGGGCCTTCTGGCAGTTCCCTCCCTGCGAGAAGTGAGTTTATTTTGTTGGGAGCTGCCCAGAGTGGCTGGGGAAACCCAGCCAGATGCGCGGGGTATAAATATTATTATTATTATTATTATTATTATTATTAGCCAATCGCCCATACAGCTGCAAGCCATTGTAGGTGGTCACACACATTAAATAAGAATTACAGATTTCCCGTTATGCAAGTGGACAAGGACTACTTTCTTTAAAAGACTCAAGCGGTATGAGCTTATGGCACCTTGAGCTTCTTGGAGGAAAGGTGGAAAAGCAGAGGTGTGGAACCCTCAGGCCCAGAGGTCAAATGCTGCCCCCTGGGCCTGTCTCCCTCTACAGCCTCTGGGACTCTCTCATGGTCCTTCCCCAAGCCAAACCCACATGCCTGTGCTCTGTACCTTCCCCTTGACTACTTTTGCCCGGCTGGACTATGCCCTTGAACCAGTGGTGTAGTGTGGGTTGCCAGTACCCGGGACAAATCTTAAGGCTGCTCTCCCTGCTTTGAAATAACACCCCCTGGCTTTGCCTTTACTCCATTAAGTTTTTCTCACTGCAACTGTAGCTAACCTGCATACCCTCCAACATGAAAATAGGGACACCCTATTCTATTCTATTATTATTATTATTATTATTATTATTATTATTATTCCACCCATCTAACTGGGTTGCCCCAGCCATTCTGGGCAAAACATTAAACATTAAAAAAAACTTCTCAATACACTGGTACCACGGGTTACATACGCTTCAGGTTACAGATTCCGCTAACCCAGAAATAGTACCTCGGGTTAAGAACTTTGCTTCAGGATGAGAACAGAAATTGTGCTCCGGCGGCACGGCGGCAGCAGGAGGCCCCATTAGCTAAAGTGGTGCTTCAGGTTAAGAACAGTTTCAGCTTAAGAACAGACCTCCGGAACGAATTAAGTACGTAACCAGAGGTACCACTGTACAGGGCTGCCTTCAGATGTCTTCTAAAGGTTGAATAATAACTTATCTCCTTGGCTTGGGGGTCGCATAACTCCACACCCTCCAACATTTCTCTGATGAAAATAAGGACGTCCTAAGGGAAAGTGGGACATTCCAGGATCAAATCAGAAACAGGGATGGCTTGTGTAAATCTGGGACTATCCCTTGAAAATATGGACACTTGGAGGGTCTGTCCATTCTGTCAGGGACTGGTGGCTGAACGCTACGAAGTTGTCACCAGGAGAAGGGAGGTTAGACACTGACTTGGAAAAATAAATCAGTGATCTGGGGCAGAGGCGGAGCTAGCTGCTCTGTGGGCGCATGCTGTGCACCCGGAGGCGGGGCTAGCCGTCCATGGGGCGGGGCTAGCATCTGGGGGCACGGCAATGTCACACACCCCTCAGGGATGACACCTGGGGCGCACCACCCCCACCGCACCCCTCTTCCTCCGCCACCGATCTGGGGGAGCCTGTAGCAGCCAAAAGAGGCAGGGTTGGAGAGTGAAGAACAGGTGGAGACTCAAGGACTTCCACACCTCCTCCTGCTGCTGCCCTACCCTTCTCCTGCTCCACTGTCTCCCAGGACCAGGAGAGGGCTGAAGCGGGAGGAGCAGAAACAGGTTACACACAGGCGTAGTCTCCACCTGCTTATGGGCAGCTCAGGTGGGGAAAATATATGAGACCACCTTGCCTGTCACTTAGTGCAGACCCAGGTCATCGACCCTGAGCTTCTACAGCTGCCACCCGCCATGAACCACCATTGGCAGGATTGGCAGCAACAGTAGCTGATACGTTATGGTATTTTACTCTCTTGTTAGTTATGCTGTTTTTATTTTATATTTGATTTCCTATAGTAATGTTTTATTTTGAAATGTTTAAGGTATTTCTTTTGTTAAATGTGCATTCTGTGCAGCAGTCGATCTCCTTTGTAATGATTTATTTTGAAATCTTCAGGAGCGTCCTGTTGAATGCTCTGAATGTATACTTTATATCTGTTATATTCTGGATTGTTTTATTTGATGTTTCAGTGCATTGTAAACTGCTTTGAGCTTTTTCTTAAAAATGTAAAGTGGTATTGAAATGAAATTCATGATAAGCTGAGGTCAGGGTTGGGGCCTCTCTGTTGAGGCAACTGCCTCATCAGAGATACACCCAGGAGCAGCTGAGAAATGTAGGACTGATGGACATGCCTTTTCAAAACTTGTAGTTGTATTTTTGACAATGAAGAGTGAGTTTCTCACCCTGGACATTCCTTGCCTGACAACCGCCGAGACCTGGCAGAACATGGTTCTTAGTACTACAGAGATACTGACTTCCTGGATATATTAATTAGAAATATTAATCTACATGATTAATCTACATGATTAAATTTTAAACGCCAGTGAAAATAATTAAAAGGAAGATGGGTCACAGGGCTGGTCATTTCTCAGTGTCTTCCGAAGTAGAACATTAGATGGATGGTGGACGGACAAGCGCTTTCTTAATGAAATACTTGCTGCACTGCCAAGCTTGGGAGAAAGATGGATTAATCCTGATTCTCTCGTTCCACATTAGCGTGATGGTCGCTTGTAGCTGGTGAATGAGAAGTTAAAGTGTTTCTTTAAGTAGATGTTTTAAGCGAGTGCAGAGTTTAAAGAAGTCTCCGGGGTGGAGCAAGATGAAAAGTCGTTCATGGAATTGGCAACTGGGTGAATGGGGTTTTTTTTGGGGGGGGGGGTGAGGCTGCTATCCAAACAACTAGATCTGCAAATGAAAGGATGTCCACTTGTGCAATGGAATTTGAGTTCCTTCTCCTCTCTCTACACAAGCCCACCTCCCCAAATAGGCTCCAGAGGATTGGGGAACACACACACACCCGAACAGATTTAGGGGGTGGGCAGAGAGAAGAGAGGGGAGAGAAGTTTGTTTATTTATTTATAAAACTATTTGTAGACTTCTGTATCATAAAAATATACACTTTGCAGCAATAGAAACATAAAAGCATGCAGTAAAAGCATAAAACAGTTAGAAATAAAGCAAAACAGTTAAATGCAAATGTCAGTAAACCATTGTTGCACAAAGGCCTTGCACTAGTGGTTCCACTCTATTGGATTCTGCCCTAAATTTGAAGATTCAGATCAGGACTACAAAAGGTTAAAGCCCCCTACTGCCCTCCCCCAACATAACACAGCAGGGTCCTGATGTGGGTTACACACAAACACACATTTGTCATTTACATTGTAAAGGCCTTTAATAATAGCTGTTTTCCTTTTAAGAATTGCCATCCTATCCATTTCTCCAAACGGATTCAAGACGATTAACAAAACACTGGTGGAAAATGACCAAAGCCAACATAATCCCTTTAAAAAGGCCCGGAATGCATTCAAATTAATGTCAACAACAGTTTTACTTTATTTATTTTTTAGATCAAGGTTGCCTCATTTTGCCCTTTGTATAAGTTAATATATGGAACACTTTCCCCTTTGCTGGCTCTAAGGATAGATGGACCCAACAAACTATTCTTTGAGGGGGTGGAGTTTTGGTGATTAAAGTGGCATCATGCCTGGTGCAAATATGGGATAAAAGTCCATTTCTGGTTGGGTTTTTTAATGGGACATCCCAAAAACATCTGCATGGAAACACACTGTTTTTAAAAAAAGAAGTACTCACAAGGTGATCCGAGGGTTGTAGGTTGCCTCCATTCCTCTAAAAGTAAAAAACGAAAAATTCCTTTTAAAACTTCTAAAAATAAAGTGCCCAGCCACCCACAGCCTGAGATGCGAGGGCACAGGGCACCCTGCTGCAAATTGCACACATAGCAAGCTCCCCAGAGGGACATGGGACTTGGTACCCTTCCTGCGCTATTAGGAGGAGTTATGAAGAAAAGCAACACTGTCCCCAGGACTCACAGTTCCTGCTTCAACAGAAGGAACCCGCTGAGCTAGAACCCAGGCACCCAGTCCTCCAGAGTTTCAGATAACTGGTCTGTGTGGGGAGGGAGCAGGGGTGTGTCCACACAAGTCCGGCCCTCAACATCCCTGCACACACCAGCTCCATGGCAGACCTTTGATTATAGTCAACGCTAGTCAACCTGTGCTTCAGAGAGCCTCACACCATCAACATAAGAACAGCTCTGCTGGATCGAGCCAATGGCCCATCTAGACCAGAGTATCCTGTTCTCACAGCAGCCAACCAAATGCTTATTATGGGAGGTCCACACGCTGTACCCAATGCTCAGAGTAGACTCATTGAAACTGATATACATAACTCTTTTTCTGCCCAGAATTCACATCTGGGTTAACTGTTTCTTCAGAATATAAGAACGCAGAGCAAGACACCAGAGCCAGCTCAAGACATTTTGGCACCACAAAATGGCGCCCCCTGCCTCCTTCCCTGCCAGGGACGAAGGAGTGAGTGAAGATCTACATCAGGAAGAAGAGAGGGGGAATAAAGATCTATGTCGGGAACGAGGGTGGGAGACATAGGAGGGACTGAGATTCCTTCAGCTCCCCCAATAAAATATCTGAGGGGGCCAAGGCCCCTCACAGTTGATGGGAATTGCCATTTAAACGGTGTAGGTGTGTGTTTTGAGATTGATTACTTGGGACAGGGCATACCTCCCACCCCCAATATTTTATTTAAGTTGGCGGGAGGAGGCCTGCAGCGCCTCCTATTCACCAAAAGACTGCTGTAGAGGCAGCTTTGGAGGCAGGATCTGCTGCCTCTGTGGATCTCACCACCCAAAGTAATCCACCTCACCTTGTCTCATGGGTGGCGTTGATACATCACCCAGGCCTACTTGTGAGTCCCAGCAACTGGTAATTAGAAGTGATCTGCCTCTGACAGGGCATGAGGGCTAAAATGTGAAGCTCAAACCCACCCAGCCCTCCATGTTTACATTGGCTCCAGAACGAGGCAGACCACTTCCTGTTGGCCAGGGGTGACAGGCCAGGAGATTCGTGGGCCTGCTTGTGTCAATGGAATTCCAGCTCTACTCAACAAGGCACCCTCTGAATACCCCATTCATTGCTCGTGGTAAATCTAAAGAGGTCCTCCCAGCTGCTTTCTGCTCTTGATACACACAGAGGCTTCTTTCTCCCAAGAAGAACCACCTCCATCCTCATTTAAGAACTGCTATTCCAACATCTTCTCAGCCAGGGAGTCAACCCAGTTTTTGCCGTCCATCTTTTCTTCTCCCTCCCTGGTCCCAAAGTTTGAGGAACACAAACAAAGGGACTTGGCAAACAGACACTACAGATGGATCTAACAATTGCATTAAAAAAAACCCTGAGTCAAAAAGAAGAACCTGTGGAGCCCAGTTGAACCCTTGGCTGTGGGTTAAGAGGCTGCCTAATGCAGAATCGAAACAGTAGTCCATTTAGGGGCAGGGTAGAAGGTCCCAGGCTCGATTCCAAGCTAGGAATGCCCCGGGCCTGAAACCCTGGAGAACTGCTGCCAGCCAGTGTGTAGACAATGTGAAGCTAGATGGACCAATAGTCTGGCCTTCCTGTGCTCCTGTCAGCATCTCCAGGATTTCAGCAGGGCCCCTTCCCAGGCCTACCGAGAGACACTGGGCATTGAACCTGGGTCCATTTTGCTTGCAAAACATAATAATAATAATAATAATAATAATAATAATAATAATAATAATAAATTTTATTTATACCCCGCCCTCCCCAGGCTCAGGGTGGCTAACACCAGTAAAATTACAGTAAAAACATAATGGGGGGGGACCAATTTAAAATACGGGTTAAAATGCTATTTAAAATGCAGCCTCATTTTAAAAGTGGCCCATAGATCAAAACCATAAGGGGAGGGAAACGTAAGAGTCCAAACCAAAGGCCAGGCGGAACAGCTCTGTCTTGCAGGTCCTGCGAAAAGATGTCAAGTCCCACAGGGCCCTAGTCTCTTGTGACAGAGCGTTCCACCAAGTCTGGGCCAGTACTGAAAAGGCCCTGGTCCTAGTTGCAACATATACTCTAACATGGGTCTTTTGCTTTTGCTTAGAACATGGGTAGACAAACTAAGGCCTGGGGGCTGGATCTGGCCCAATCGCCTTCTAAATCTGGCCTGAGGACGGTCCGGGAATCAGCATGTTTTTACATGAGTAGAATGTGTCCTTTTATTTAAATTCCATCTCTGGGTTATTTGTGGGGCATAGGAATTCGTTCATTCCCCCTCCCCCCCAAAAAAATAGTCCAGCCCCCCATAAGGTCTGAGGGACAGTGGACCCCGGTAGACAGAGGTCCCCAATCCTGCCCTGTTGCAATCCCTCTAGCCTAATGTGGTTTCATTCAATAGCACCATCAACAGATGTATCACAAATGTATCTGAAGCCCACTAAGAACACATGAAGAGTCCTGCTGGATCAGAGCAAGCAGATCCAGTCCAAACACTTGTTCCCCATAGTAGACAGAACCAGATGCCTCTGAGAAGCCCACAGGAAGGCAACAACCTACTACTGATGTTGCTCTCCTGCAGTTGGCGTTCAGAGCCATCCCGCCTCTGAACATGGCAGGCATCAGTTGACGTGTTCTCTTCATGAATTTGTCTAATCCGTTGATATCTACTACCAGAAGCAGTGTGCTCCTGCATAAAGTGGTATCTCAGTTCTCGAATGTAATCCATTCCAAAAGACCATTTGAAAACCGAGAGGCAAAGGGCTGTCAGCAAATTCAATTGAGAAAATTGAAAAATTGAAAATTCTGTGTCCAGGGCAGCTGTTTACCAGCTCCATCTGGTACGCAGGCTGAGACCCTACCTGCCTGCTGACTGTCTCGCCAGAGTGGTGCATGCTCTAGTTATCTCCTGCTTGCGTCTCCACCCCCATCATCCAGCCTGGACACTGAGGTCCAGTGCCGAGGGCCTTCTGGCGGTTCCCTCACTGCGAGAAGTGAGGTTACAGGGAACCAGGCAGAGGGCCTTCTCGGTGGTGGCGCCTGCCCTGTGGAACGCCCTCCCAGCAGATGTCAAGGCAATAAACAACTATTTTACTTTTAGGGAAGTTTTTAATGTCTCATGCTGTATTGTTTTTAATATTCAGTTGGAAGCCGCCCAGAGTGGCTGGGGAAACCCAGCCAGATGGGCAGGGTATAAATAATAAATTATTATTATTATTATTACAAGTATTATTATTATTATTATTATTACTATTATTAATTTAAAAAATACGCAGCGGAAGCCATTCAACTTCCGAGGCATGTTTGAAAATGGAAGCATTTGCTTCCGGGTTTTGGACGTCCGGGTTCAAAAATGTTCATCAACGAAAACATTCAAAAACCGAGGTACCACTGTACCAGTTTTTCTCAAAACTACAGGAGGGCCGAGTGTTCTTGCACTCAGGACCTGCTTCCAAGCTTCCCATGGGGGCATCTGCTTGGCCACTATGAGAACAGGATGCTGGACTAGATAGGCCACTGACTTGATCCAGCAGGTTGTTCTTATGTTCTTCAGAGAGGGAGCTTATGGCCCTCTAGGTGTTGTTGGACTACAACTGCCATCATCCCTTGCATCACTGACCCTGTTTGCTGAGGCTGATGGGAGATGTCGTCGAAGGACATCTGAGGACCGGAGGCTCCAGGCCCCTTTGAAAGCCTTCTAAGATGAACTGGTGGTTTACCACCAAATCTAGTGGCAGCAAATTCCACAAAATTAATTGCATGTTATAAAAATAAACATAAAAAGGAAGGAGACTCCATAAACTCTCTAGCCACAGCACCACCAAAGAATGCCATAAAACAGTTAGGCGTTAACTTTTATGGGCTTGGAAGGACAGACAGCAGGGGAAAGTTCGTCTCCTGCTGGGGCAATACCAGTCAGTGCATAAAATGAATAGGGGGAGGGTCTTAGCTCAGTGGAAGAGCATCTGCTTTGAATGCAGAAGGTCCTGGGTTCAATCCCCAGCATCTCTAGGTAAACCCCTGCTTTAAATCCTGAAGAGCTGCTGCCAGTCAATGTAAAGGTAAAGGTAAAAAAAGAGGTAAAGGACCCCTGGATGGTTAAGTCCAGTCAAAGGTAACGATGGGATGCAGCGTTCATCTCACTTCAGGCTGAGGGAGCTGGCATTTGTCCACAGACAGCTTTCCAGGTCATGAGACCAGCAGGACTAAACCGCTTCTGGCACAACAGGATACCGTGATGAGTGCCAGAGCGCATGGAAATGCCATTTACCTTCCTGCTGCAGTGGTACCTATTTATCTACTTGCACTGGCGTGCTTTCGAACTGCTGGGTTGGCAGGAGCTGGAACAGAGCAATGGGAGCAGCATGGGGATTCGAACCGCCGACCTTCTGATTGGCAAGCCCAAGAGGCTCAGTGGTTTAGACCACAGCGCCACTCGTGTCCCTGCCAGTCAGGGTAGACTGTACTGAACTAGGTGGACCTGTGGTCTGACTCAGTACAAGTCAGGTCCTGTGAATTAATGGAGGGGATATTAAGGAGCCTTTGCCCCCTTTGTCACACTGCCTACTTCCTCCTTTCTTCTCAAAGCTTTGGACGGCAGGCAATAGAAGAGGAAGCCTTCCCAAGAGACCCAGAATGCAAACTCTACGTCCCTGCCATCTGTCTCGGACAGGGTACTGTTGGGAGGGGCATCTCCCCTGAAAGGCAAGCTTTGGAAATGAAAATTCAGAAGTAACGAAACAGTAACAGATTGTGGCTCCAGCCTTCGCCTGGGCACTGATCCTCAACTCAGGCCTGACTCTGGCTGGCTCCCTCTGTCGGGCGCAATAGCATCCTAGGCTAAAAAGAAAGGGCACGAAATTTATTCGCTGTCTTCCCCTGAATTCCCTGCCCAAAGCAAAATCGTCTTCATCATGTGCATCTTGCAGTTTGACTCGGCACGACGGAGGACATCCATGTCTAGAGTTAGCATAAAAGCAGACTCCCTGGGCGCACGCACCCCAAATGACCCCCTACTGAATCAGAAACTCACACATCACAGTCCCCCAGCTGTCTGCACACCGGCGGTCCAGCGACTGAGCGCTGATCGGTCCAAAGTGGGTCAAACGCCAGGTGCCCAAGACACACATGCAAATGTGCATTCAAACAAACATATTGTCTAATGAAATGGTACCCTATCCAAGACGTCAGCCCCAAATCAGACACCCACAAAAGGCAGCATGTGTACATCAGTGTGTTTTCCTTCTGGCTTCCACTGATGTGAGCGGCAACGATGGGAGGACAGCACAGAAAAGAGGCTGGTGTTTTGTTTTGTGGTTTGCATTTTATATAACCCACCGCAGCCTCTCGCAGATTCTGGCCCCCTTTTCCCCTCCCCTGATCTCTCACGCTCTGCCTTCGCCTCCTTACCGGCTTCCTCCTGTTCCTCTGCCCTTGGCAAGTCTCTTCTGTGGCTAACTGCTTCTCCTCAGGCACCATTCTTGTGCACCCACCCCCTCCTCCTTCTCTCCAGCTCTCGGCTATTACTATAAATATACCCTTGTACCTTCAGCTTGGCTGAGTGGCTTCGCTGGGTCTGGGTCCTGGGAGAAAGCAGCCGCTCGACTAATCGCTCCTGAATAATGATTGAATCCATAATAACCAACGGCAGGCCAGACCGGGAGTCACCATGGGCCAAGCGGGAGAAAAAGCCCAGCCCATGCACTCCCTCCCAGCTTTGACTAAATCCATAAGGCTGCCACCCCCGCCCACACACGGGGAGAGAGAGAGAGAGAGAGAGAGAGAGAGAGAGAGAGAGAGAGAGAGGCAGCCCGGGCCTTTTCTGCAAGGCAACCACCAGCTGGCTAGAATTTCCTGTGTTGCTGTTGCCGCCTTGCTCACAGGAGGGTGGAATAAATATCAGACAACAAAGGCAGCGGCTGCCATGCGAGGAGAAGCAGCTCCGTGGGTGACAGTTTCCTCAGACAGTAGCAGCAGCATGGCGTAATGGTCGGAACAGGTCTGACTCGGTTCTGAGGCAGCGTTCTACCCCGGAGACTAAGAGTCCTCTTCATCGCTTTGACTGGTGAACCAGAAGCTCTAAGAAGGAGGGAGGGTGATTGGTCGACGAGCCTCCAAACTTTCTCCCCTGGTGGAACTCGAGGCAGTGAGAGCCACAGCGCTGAGATCAGGAGATAAACATAAGGACATAAGAGCCACAGCACTGAGATCAGGAGATAAACATAAGGACATAAGAGCCTAACGGACCAGGCCAACGGTCCCTGTCGTCCAACGCCCTGTTCTCTCTTCTTTTAATACAAATTTATTTATTTGGTTTTTCAAATTAAAGTTTTGCAGAGATATATCAAACATAAATCATAAAAAACAAGATTCCAAGGAATATCCTGGACTTCCTTCCTCCCCTTTGTGGGTCCAATTATTAACCATTTCGTCCCACATCTTTTATGATAATCCAAATCTTTTACATCTCCATTGTGTCCAGAATTCACCATTAAACTGCAAGCGTTATTCCAATCCTACTAACGATTTTAACTGTTTACAATGGTCTTTAAGATAAGTTATAAATTTTCCCCATTCCTTATTAAAATTTTGGTCTTCCTGATTTCTGATTCTTCCTGTCATTTTAGCCATTTCAGCATAGTCCATCAACTTGATCTGCCATTCTTCTCTGGTCGGGACTTTATCTTCTTTCCATCTCTGGGCCAATAACATCCATGCAGCCATGGTCGCATACATAAATAGTCTTTTCTGCTCCCTTGGGATTTCGGCACCTAAAATCCCTAAAAGGAACACCCTTTTCTCACAGTGGCCAACCAGATGCCTGTGGGAAACTCGCAAGAAAGATTCAAGTACAAGAGCCCTCTGCCTTCCCTTCCAGCAACTAGAATTCAGAAGCATCGTTGCTTCCAAGTGCAGAGTGGAGCCATTGTGGCTAGGAGCCATTCTCCTCCATGAATCTGTCTAATCCTCTTTTAAAGCCTTCTAGGTTGTGGCCCTCACTGCCTCCCTTAGGAGAGACTACCATAATTTGTGCTGCATGAAGAAGTATTTCCTTTCATCTCTCCTGAATCTTCCAACGTTCAGCTCCATTGGATGCCAACGAGTGTCATGGGAGATGTTGGTGCTGACCTTTAAAGCCCTAAATGGCCTCGGCCCAGTATACTTGAAGGAGCGTCTCCACCCCCATCGTTCTGCCCGGACACTGAGGTCCAGCTCCGAGGGCCTTCTGGCGGTTCCCTCGCTGCGAGAAGCCATGTTACAGGGAACCAGGCAGAGGGCCTTCTTGGTAGTGGCACCCGCCCTGTGGAACGCCCACCCATCAGATGTTATGGAAATAAACAACTACCAGACTTTTAGAAGACATCTGAAGGCAGCCCTGTTTAGGGAAGCTTTTAATGTTTAACCGACCACTGTATTTTAATACTTTGTTGGAAGCCGCCCAGAGTGGCTGAGGAAACCCAGCCAGATGGGCGGGGTATAAATAATAAATTATTATTATTATTATTATTATTATTAGGGGAACTTTCTCTAGCCACTTCCTCCATTCCATGCACATCTTCTCTTGTGACCTCTTGCTTGCCTTTAAAGGCATGTCCCTATAAGGGAAGGAAGCTGTAGAGATGCGTTGGCTACTTCCCCGTGGCTCGTAGGGCCAGATCTGGCCCACAACTTAGCTAACCCTGCTTTGAGAAACACTTGCCGGCACAAAGGCAAAGCCAGGAGGTGTTGTCTCAAAGCAGGGAGAGCAGCCCTACGACTTGAGTTCTGCTCAAAGGGAGATCATCTGGGTTAGGAAACCAAGCACACGCCCTTGAACATTTTGCAAAATGAAAACAAGGGCACGCTTGTTAACGCCCTTAGTCTCATGTACATATGGTTTTGCAGGCCCCACCCTCTCCATTGCTACATGTCAAAGGCTCTTTGTGACATCCCTCCCCTTTGCAGTAGCCCCTGTCCTTCCTCCACCGATACAAAAGCCAAAGAAAGACATGGTTCCTAGATTACATGATAACCTGGGGAAATGTCATGGTCCAACAATGTTATCAGCGTTTCAAAACATGCCTCAGCACTGCATGGCGCATTAGGCTTCCTGTATACACATCTACCAACATCATTCCCTTGATATTCAACGTGTTGGTGCTGACCTTTAAAGCCCTAAATGGCCTCAGCCCAGTATACCTGAAGGAGCATCTCCACCCCCGTCGTTCAGCACTGAGGTCCAGCGCCAAGGGCCTGCTGGTGGTTCCCTCACTGCGAGAAGTGAGGTTACAGGGAACTAGGCAGAGGGCCTTCTCGGTAGTGGCCCCCACCCTGTGGAACGCCCTCCCTTCAGATGTCAAGGAAATAAACAACTATATGACTTTTAGAAGACAGCTAAAGGCAGCCCTGTTTAGGGACGTTTTTAAGGACTGATGTTTTTATTATGCTTTTAGATATGTTGTAAGCCACCCAGAGGGGCTGGGGAAACCCAGTCAGATGGGCAGGGTATAAACACTGGCGGAGGAAGAGGAGTGCGGGGGGAGCGCACCACCCCCAGCAGCACGATCCCAGTGGGGTGCCATCACGGCTGCCCCACAACCCGCTCTGGGCACCATGCCCCCACAGGCAGCACGTCACGCCCCTGGGATGTGGACCAGCCCCGCCCCGTCTGCTCTCCGCCCCCCATGAAGCTCCACCACTGGGTATAAATACAGTAATAAAATTGTTGTTGTTGTTACTGACAGGAATAGACTAATCTGTCAGTTTCATTTTCTCTCTCCGTTTCTCATTTTTCCACTCTTAAATACAGTGGTCCACATTTCCTCATCAGTTTGCAAAGTAAAATAAATAAATAAATAAATAAATAAATAAAAACAGAACTTTAGTGTGAACTAATATACACATTTTTGCAAAGCAATCCCTCCTTAGAGATTTTTGTATACTGTTTGATTGCATCTATTCATGTGTGCACCTCTATGCACACTTTCCCCTGGTACATGCGTTTCTGTACACATCACTTCGCTGAAGAACTGCATTGCAAAATTCAGAGAAGTTGTGAATCTCAACCACTTTGCTCAAGAACTTTTGCGTCCGGGTTTTCGCTTTCTGAACTATGGCCGCCCTAAAGAAGCGAACACCAGTGAATTCTGCTCCTGTTTCCATTTTCATCAGGGTTCTGCAACATCCCTAAGAGGAAGCAAGTTTTACACAAAGAAGAAGTCTGTTTGCAAAGCAGGCCAAGGTTAGAGCTGCAACAGCGTGCTCACGCCAGAGCAAGAATTTCATTAGGTTATAAATCTAAAAGGGCTCAGGCAGCTGTTCTAATACATCTGTAAATGTCTCTCGTCAACTAATCTGCTTTGGGATGTAGTTGTGGACCTCCAAGGCACTTGCCATTTGGCTGATTGGTAACCTGGCCAAATCGCAGCCTGTAAATTCTCCTTGAAATATGACAGGAGCTTTCATAACACCATCTATTGTCCAAAGCAAACAACATAAGCACATCCCCTCCCAGCCCGGCCACACCAATGCATGAAAAAGAGACACAGAGATGAGGTGAAAAGAGGACTAAATAAGATACACAACCAAACAATGTTAGAAACTGAGATATATAAGGTAAAGGTAAAGGGACCCCTGACCATTAGGTCCAGTCGTGGACGACTCTGGGGTTGCAGCGCTCATCTCGCTTTATTGGCCGAGGGAGCCGGCGTACAGCTTCCGGGTCATGTGGCCAGCATGACTAAGCCGCTTCTGGCGAACCAGAGCAGCGCACAGAAATGCCATTTACCTTTCCGCTGGAGCGGTACCTATTTATCTACTTGCACTTTGAGGTGCTTTCGAACTGCTAGGTTGGCAGGAGCAGGGACCGAGCAGCGGGAGCTCACCCCGTGGCGGGGATTTGAACCGCCGACCTTCTGATCATAGAATCATAGAGTTGGAATAGACCACAAGGGCCATCGAGTCCAACCCCCTGCCAAGCAGGAAACGGCAAGTCCTAGGCTCTGTGGTTTAACCCACAGCACCATATAAACTAGGTGCCAAATGGCTCCTTAAACCAGGGTTGCAGTCGCCCAAACAGAACGTTTAGTTGCCATTTTGGGGCCAGATGGCTTGAAATGGCAAAACATGAATTTGTGTTGCTGTTCCTGAAATACATTCTGATTGTGCAGATAAAATATAACTGATAGGATTCCAAGGGATGTGTTGTTGGTATGTGAAAACAGACAAGATACAAGGATCCCCAGGGAGACACCTTCAGATGGTGGCACCCAGGGACCTGCCGAATTTCAAACACTGCAACCAATCACAGGGAGTAATGAATATCCAGCTGGCACTGGTACATTGTGGGAAATCAGAACATGAGAAGAGACTGCTGGATCAAACCAATGGCCTATCACAGCCTAGCACCCTGTTCTCACAGTGGCCAACCAGATGCCTCTGAGAAGCTTACAAGCAAGACAGCGCTCTACCACCTGAATTTTCCAGACGGCCTCCAACAGTGGAGGTAGAAGAAGAGTTTGGACTTGATATCCCGCCTTTCACTCCCCTTAAGGAGTCTCAAAGCGGCTAGCAATCTCCTTTCCCTTCCTCCCCCACAACAAACACTCTGTGAGATGAGTGGGGCTGAGAGACTTCAAAGATGTGTGACTAGCCCAAAGTCACCCAGCAGCTGCATGTGGAGGAGGGGGGAAGCGAACCCGGTTCACCAGATTACGAGTCTACAGCTCTTAACCACTACACCACACTGGCTCCCATAAATACATACATATCATGGCTTGTAGGCACTGACAACCTTGACCTCTATGAATTTGCCGGTTCCTCTTTTAAAGTCACCTGAGATGATGGCCTCTTGTGGGAGCTAGTTCCATACGTGTTGTGTGAATAAGTCCCTCCTTCGGTCTGTCCTGAATCTGCCAACATTCAGATTCAAAAGAATGGCCAAAGTCCACCGGGTCTCTGTCCTGCTGTCCCCAAATGCAAAATACAAACTCACCTCCTACCCACTGAGGGGAGAGCTTGTTGGAAAAAGCAGGACCCAGTTGGTGGCACCTCTCTGGGGCACTTGGGGCCAAGCAATGACCCACTGCTGGTGCCCCATAGATCAAGGACTTTGATGGGGAGACTGCCCTGGGTATCGTCTAGGTCAGTGTTTCTCAACCTGTGGGTCCCCAGATGTTGTTGGACTACAACTCCCATCATTCCTAGCCAGCATGATCAGTGGTCAGGGATGATGGGAGTTGTAGTCCAACAACATCTGGGGACCCACAGGTTGAGAACCGCTGGTCTAGGTGCTTTGACAATCAACCCCTCTTCCCAGGGAACTCTGTGAGAAGAACAGGGGCCTCCTCACCATTCTCTCCTCCCTTAACAAACTGTCCTTCCCAAGGTTATTTGGGGGACTGACAAAATGGTACAGGGGTGCTTTAAATGCAGAGTGTGGGTGTGGGCCTAGTTACCGTATTTTTTGCTCTATAGGACGCACTTTTTCCCCTCCAAAAATTAAGGGGAAATGTGTGTGCGTCCTATGGAGCGAATGCAGGCTCCTTGGCTTCAGCGATGGCAACGCGAAGCCTCCGAAGCGAAGAGGGAGCGCTCCCTCCGCGCTCCGGAGGCTTCGCGTTGCTTTCGCTGAAGCCTGGAGAGCGAGAGGGGTCAGTGTGCACTGACCCCTCTCGCTCTCCAGGCTTCAGGGATAGCCGCCTGAAGCCTTTGGAGCGCAGCAGGAACTCACGCTGCGCTCCGAAGGCTTCGGGTTCCTTTTGCTGAAGCCGGGAGAGCAAGACTCTCCTGGTTTCAGCAGAGAGGGAGAGCTGTGCAGCGCCCCTTCAGCGAAGCGGGAGGAGAAATGGAAGGGGCTCCATTTCTCCTGCCGCTTCGCTGAAGGAGCGCTGAGCAGACAGGGGGAGAATTCCCCCTGTTCTCCCCCTCCTATGGTCCAGTGCGTCCTATGGTCCGGTGCATCCTATAGAGCGAAAAATACAGTAACTAGTGACCTGACTCAGAATGGGCTGAAGAGACTTCCGGGTTAGCGCCTCCGGCAATGGCGAATTTCCTCTGATCGGGAGGAATCCGCTTCGTGGAAATTAGGGTCTGGACCGCCACGGCGAGGCGGAGACCCACCAAAAACCACAGGCGGGAGGAGCCTGTGGACGTGGGATTCAGCTGGCACCTTTTGCGCCTCCCCTACTCGCGGGGAAACCCGGTTTCGGGGATCCGGAGCGACGTGGGGTGAGCGGCGTGGTGCTTCGAATTGACTGCTCTTTTCACGGAGTGAAGCCGCATTGCTGTTGCCGGAGAGCGCTGACTTTTTCCTGTGGGCAATTGGACTTTAAACAACTACCCGTGAGTAGAACGGAAAATTGGACTATGAAACATCTTAATTTGGCACCGAAGCGGGAAGGTTCTAAACAGGAAGTCCGCCTTCCGCTTTTGTAAATAGATTGAAGCAAAGACATTGCAAGCTAAAGTCTGGAACGTCTTTTGTAAAGGACTAAATCTCCATCGGCTAAAACTACTAAACCCCCCTTGGAAGCATGAGAAGAGGGGGGAAATCTTAGATTGTTTAAGCCTGCAGGAGAGAGAGTAAAGAAAGATAAATTTTCACCGTCTTGAACCTGGGAACGGGGTGTCAGGAAGACAGACGTTTTGGGAAAGTTCATTGACTGTGAATAAAATGTTTCTTGACAGATAGTTAAAAAAGAGAAACATATTGATTCCAATGTTTCCTTTTGTATTTAAAAGGAACAAAATATTTGAAAAACAAAAGTAATTTTGTTGCTGGATCTGCTTTCAAAAGGACGGATACAAATAGAAAATGTTTTCCCCTAGAGGGAGCTTTTGAAACTGTTGTTGGAGTCGATCTGGGGAATTCTCCAGCTGCAGAGATTAAAGATCGTGAGAACCAGACACTGACCTTGAACAAGAATGTGTGCAGAAGAAGCCTTAGTGATTGCTTTTTGCAAGACAAGCGCTTTACTGGAACAACTACATGAGAAGATGGATTTGATGACTGTTGCAGTTAATAATTTTGGACAAACAGTGAATACCTATATAGAAACCACTCAGGAACTGACCCAGGAATCTGCTTTGACAGGGCAAGTTGTGCAGAAGACAAAGGAGGAGGTTGTTGTCGAACCTCAAGTAATACAAGTGGAAAGAGCCGCGGCCTTGCAGGAACATAAGTTGTTGTTTTTGATGACTGAATCTGGAGAAAGTCAGATTTGGAGAGATGGAGTCTCGTTTGGTTTGGAGATGGGAAGTTGGATAGATCCCCCTATGCAGGGATGTTCTGGCTTCTGGGATCTGGTTTTGGGCCGGGCTAGATGGAATGGATAGAAAGGACTGACAGAACCCGAGACCAGGAAGAAGAGACGGTGGATGAAGATTGGAAGAAAGTTTAAAAATTCATTTAGAGAATTATTGTAAAATTAATGAGTGTTAGAAAAAATGCTGGAATGAAAATATTTGGCTTTAGTAGAAATGCTATAAGGAGTTATGTACAAATAAGTTTTAAGTTTTAGGGCTTTTTATGGTAAGATAAGGTTAAAATAAATCAAGACAATTTAATGACAGAATATAGTGAAAGATGGAAAGGATTTGCTGAGATAATTAATAACTAGAATACAAAAAAGGGAGGTGCGAGGAGGTCGATGAAACAAGTTAACGAAAGATAAAGATTTGGGAATATTGGATTTGTTTTTAATTTTTTGTTTGCTTTTGTTTTTGGTTTTGATGTATTGTGTGTTTTGTTCTCTTTTTTCTTTTTATTGACTTGTACTGTTTAATTCCTTTTTTGTTTTTGTTTTTCCTTTTTCTTTTTTTCTCTGTAATTTTAAATTCTCAATAAATATCATTTAAAAAAAAAAAACAGAATGGGCTGAAGAACACAGCATCTCCTAAGCCAGGTGCTCCTATAGCACACTGCAGCAAATCCCAGCTTCCAGGGATTTCTGATACTTGTACAAACTTTAGGATTGAAGCGAATTTCTTGTAATTCAAGCAAGCTGTTCAGTGCTGTGAATCAGGAGAGGGTAATTATGTGATGCAACAGCTGTCATGCAAGAGGAAGTTCCTGGGTCTTGGAACCCTTCCCAGCTCCCTTCTCCATTCCTACTTCTGAACAGCCGCTCTAGCTCCATAAAAAAAGTCTATTTTTAACCTCCCTGATGATGTGTTGTCAGGAAAGACCATTTTGCCGGCATTTTGGCTTTCTCTCCTTCCGACGCCTTCGACCCCGTCTCCATTCACAACTTTTGAAATCCGGCTTTCGTAAGAGATGGCTTCCCAGGAGTCGAGAGCGATGACTCCCTCTAATAGTGAACAGGGGTGGTGAGTGTCGATGGACATGGAGGCTGAACATGTTTGATGATAAGCCAGAGGGCCGTATCAAGCAGGCTGCGAGGGAGGGAGGGGAAACACCTGAGATCAAAATCAAAACACTAATGATCTCTAAAGGCAGGAAGCAAAACTGCCCCACTAAAAATAAAAACAGCCCAAAGGACTGAGCATTCTCAAGAGCCACAAAATGTTGCCACTTGGAAAAGGAAAGTGGAAAAATGGGAGGGTGTAGGAATGGAACATTCTGGGAAAGGGGCATGGCTAGCTGGCTGGCAGAAACCCTGAGCAGGAATACTCCCATAAAGTGTTATGCAATATATCAGAGCATTTCATGTAGGTTTCATTTGTGACATACCCAGAATACTGCAGTCGTTGGCAGTGTCCGGGCAGAAATCAGCAAAAATGGCTGGGAAGATTCGGACGTCGGACGTATGGCAACCCAACTTTGCCCAAAAAAGCTCAACAACTTTTGTGTTCAGATTTTCACTTTTTGAAATACCTTGGAAGTCAAACGGAATCCATTCCGGGTCATGTGGCCAGCATAACTAAGTCACTTCTGGCAAAGCAGAGCAGTGCACGGAAATGCCATTTACCTTCCCACCAGAGCGGTACCTATTTATCTACTTGCACTTTGACGTGCTTTCGAACTGCTAAGTTGACAGGAGCAGGGACCGAGCAACGGGAGCTAACCCCGTCGCGGGGATTTGAACCGCCAACCTTCTGATTGGCAAGCCCAAGAGGCTCAGTGGTTTAACCCACAGCGCCACCTGTGTCCCGCAAAATATAAATTTTGTTAAAGAAAACAAATATGGTTTTCCAGACCTCTCCTTAAAGGGAGGCTCAAAAGATGGTGACAAAAGAGAGGGCCTTTTCAGTTGCGGCTCCCCATCTACTAGAGACTGCCACCTGTGCTTGCATTCCTCGCCAACCCCATCTGACCCCCACCAAACTCAACACCCCTCCCTTCACATCTCACCCAAGCTCTCTTCCCCTCACAGTCCCTTAAAGCCCCCACAACTTATTCAAGCCCCGCCCCCATGTCCTCACAGTTCATCTGTGTCCCTCCATCCCTGATCTATTCGAAACTGTTGTTTAAAACTGCCATTTTAAAACCTGCCTTCCCACTTGCTCCCCCGCCCAACTTCACGCAAATCCCAGATCGTGATGCAGCACTACAAATCCTCCAGTGGGGGGCTACGTGATGACAGCCTTACAGTTTTTTATATATAGGAAGATATGTAAGATTGGAGGTGTTGTAGGAAAATGTTGATGCTTTATGTGCATTTTTCTATGGGATGATGTATTTATGATTATTGTTTTTAAACATTACGTTGCTTGGAAGCCTGTCAGGTAAACAAAGGACTAATAAATTTAATAAATAATTTTATTAAAAATGTAAAGGGGTGAGATGAGCGTACTGCCTCTCCTCGAATGACCTTAGGCTACAAAGAACACTGCACTGTTATTATTATTTTTATTTTTATCCCAGCTGATTTTGCCCCACTTGGTACCAAGCTGATTCCATCTCGTGCATCAGATAATTCTCTCTAAGGGAGCCCTTTGTCCACCGAGTCAGCAGCTGCCTCAAATGGAGCGGGAACAATCTAGGCATTCTGCCCCAGCCATCTTAAAAGGACACTCACTTCCTTTGAGTGCAAAACAAACCAGTGGGTGTGTCCAGCAGTTATTTTCTTTTCGGTCCAAAGTTATTGGGTTGTAGTCAATGCTAGTCCTACTCAGAGTAGACCCGCTGAAATCAAGGGGCTTAACCTAGTCATGCTCATGACTTTCAGTGGGTCTACTCTGCATAGCCACAAAGGCTACGCTGTTCCTCCATGGTTAGAGGCAGTGATGCTTATGCTGGGAATTACAGGTAGGCAGTGTGCTCTTGTGCCAAGAATTGTAAGTTGGAAGGAGTTCAGAGGGTCATCTAATCCAAGACACTGCAATGCAGGAGTCTATGGTTCTCTGTTCCTATTTTGGCAAAGTAATAATCATAAATAGGTAAAGGTAAAGGGACCCTTGACCATTAGGTCCAGTTGTGACCGACTCTGGGGTTGCGGCGCTCATCTCACTTTACTGACCGAGGCAGCCGGCGCACAGCTTCCGGGTCATGTGGCCAGCATGACTAAGCCGCTTCTGGCGAACCAGAGCAGCACACGGAAACGCCGTTTACCTTCCCGCCAGAGCGGTACCTATTTATCTACTTGCACTTTGACGTGCTTTTGAACTGCTAGGTTGGCAGGAGCAGGGACCGAGCAACGGGAGCTCACCCCGTCACGGGGATTCAAACCGCCGACCTTCTGATCGGCAAGTCCTAGGCTCTGTGGTTTAACCCACAGCGCCACTCACGTCCCAACTTATTCAGTCTAGCCCTTTCAAAAAGGTCTTCTCCTGAAATTGTTATTAGTCCTGGTTTGAGGGTCATGGCGCCTACATGTGACTTGGAAAGTGTTCTGAGTGCCTGATAGAATCATATAGTTGGAAGGGATTATTAGGGTCATTTAGCCAAACCGGTTCCAATGCAGGAATCTTTCACCCAACATGGGGCTTGAACCCATGAGCCTGAGATTAAGAGTCTCATGCTTTACCGACTGAGCTATCCCAGGCCTACCCTTGTTTTCATAAACAGAAAACAGCACTACCCCACCACCAAGACCATTCCATTGTAACTACCCAACCTCCCAAAATTTCAACACCTCTCGTGATGGTTTGACCCCTTTCCATTTTAACAGTACAAATTCTACAAACAGCCTCCATATCTCCTCAAAATCATTTCTCCTGCATATTCCCCGTCTTACCTTAACGGTACACGTGAATTTGTCATTAATAGCTATATCCCACACCTCTTTATGCCATTCTTCCATTTTATATTCACCTTGCCCCTTCCACTTCCTAGCTATAACAATTTGTGCAGCTGTCAATAAATTTGTGAGCAAGTCCTTCATAGCCTGCAAACCTTCCACCCCATCATAAATTGATAATAATGCTACCTCTGGACTTTTGGTCAGCTTTAACCCAGTGATTTCTGTTATCTCCTCAAACACCCTTTGCCAAAATAATTGTACACATTTACACCCCGACCACATGTAAACATGTGACGCAGGTGGCACTGTGGGTTAAACCACTGAGCCTAGGACTTGCCGATCGGAAGGTCAGCGGTTTGAATCCCCGCGACAGGGTGAGCTCCCGTTGCTCAGTCCCTGCTCCTGCCAACCTAGCAGTTCAAAAGCACGTCAAAGTGCAAGTAGATAAATAGGTACCGCTCTGGCAGGAAGGCAAACCGCATTTCTGTGCGCTGCTCTGGTTCGCCAGAAGCGGCTTAGTCATGCTGGCCACATGACCCGGAAGCTGTACGCCGGCTCCCTCGGCCCATAAAGCGAGATGAGCGCCTCAAGCCCAGAGTCGGTCACGACTGGACCTAATGGTCAGGGGTCCCTTTACCTTTACCTTTTACACATGTGAACATAATTCCCTGTTTCCTGGCATCCCCCCTCCTTCCTGGTTATGTTATTATTCTTATTGTTGAAGATATCGTATACACCCCAGCATACTAAGGGGCTGTTTGTGGTTTTCAACCCTTTTTTGCTTAACCACCCCCCCCAAAAAATAAATCCTGTAATCTGTTGCAGTAGAACCGCCACCCGCTCTCCCTGCCCCCACACAAAATGAGAAAGAGAAGAGAGAGGGGAAACTAGTAATTCATTTAACAGTTGCCACATTTCGAATTACAAAACTTCCCAAAGGGAAGCGGAAAACCTCCAGTTTTAAACAGACCAGCTGATGATGAAAGCGCACATAATATTTCAACAGAGCAGATATATAAGCATACAGCACAGGCGTTCTCTGCACAACAACATCTACCAACCAGGAAATTGGATAAGGAAATGAGACAGTAACCAGGGGCTCACATCAACCGCTGGCTGCTGACTTCTCAGGCAGACAGGCCTTCTCACCTCCCAAAATTAATACTAGACTCTGGTGCTCATCCCAAGAAGCAACTAATGAGTTTTAGCCCTGTGCAAATTAAAAACCCTCTCCCTTTTTGCAGAATTCTGTTCTTCCACTAGAGGGGTGCACCGGACTGCAATACAGGCAGCTAACACCTCCCCGTCCTTTGTCAATCTTCCGTCTACTAAATTAGCCAGACCTTTGTTTGATTGTTTTCCAGACAGGGTTCTGTGGAAGGCTCCCCAGGATGGTCTGTGAAGCATTGTCATTCTGGGTGAAATACTTATTACCACATTTTTCTTCAGTTTCTTGGTTTGCATGGGGCAGGGAGAAAAGAGGGATCAGGTTCTGAACAATATCATGACCACACAACAAGGGTCCCTTAACCAAAAGAAGAAGAAAAGGGATTGAGAACCAAAACAACTGAATTTTGTTTGCAGGATGTTCGGAATTAATAACTTTGTGGAAGAGCATTTTAGGGAAGAGAAACGTTTGTCCTGGAATATATCCATGAACGGTGGCAATGAATGTGACCTGCCTTGGATGGGGGGGGGCATGTGTAAAAACTTCAGAAGGTCACAAGGCTTGAAGGTGACATACTGCACAAAGGCGATATTCACATACCGTCCAACTTTTTCAAATCTAAAATCAGGAAGCGCATATTCTGGGATGTACTCTCAGGCAGCTCACGTGACCCACACGACGATCTCAGCCCAAAAAAGTGCTTGGGGGGGGCACAATCTCACACGGCACCAGAAACCACACATTTTGGGGTGGTTTTTTTCCGACATGAGAGCGCACGAGATCGGGGAACCCAAAATGGCCACCGCGATCTCGCACGAAAAAAATGGGATGCCCCCTTTTTCTGGGACACTCATGGCTTCCCTTAAGGGGGTGCAGTTTTTAAGGGTGCTGAGAGTTGTTAGGGAGAAAGACCCCTTTGAGGAGGGACAGGGGGTGGGGTTAAGCCACTCTGGGAATTGTAGCTCTGAGAGAGGATTAAGGGTCTCTTAACAACTCTCAGCACCCTTAATAAACACCCTGAATCCATTGGGTGGAGTCATTCAAAGTGGACTGTTCAAAGTGGTATCATAGTGCTTTATATGGATAGTGTTGATGAGGTTAAAGAAAATCTGTTGCTCCATCCACTTTCTACCTCAGACTGTAGCCTTTGGGCCAAAAATATTCCCCATCCCCAACACACAAGGAGGGGGCATTGCAATACAATCTTGAAGGAACATCAGAAGCCCAGAGTGGCAAGGGCAACCAAGTCAGGTGGGCAGGGTGCAAATGAATTATTATTATTATTATTATTATTATTAAGTTGCTTTATCCTGAACCAAGCCATTGTTCCAGCTAGCCAGGGCCCCCATGAGCCCTTGAAAGATTTTGGTGCCCCCCTGTATATCTAATTCAAAATATAAACAGAGGATTGGAGAAGATCAGTCTACATCCCAATCCCAAAGAAGGGACGTGCCAAAGAATGCTCCAACTACCGCACAATTGCACTAATTTCACACGCTAGCAAGGTTATGCTTAAAATTCTACAAGGAAGGCTTAAGCGGTATGTGGACCGAGAACTCCCAGAAGTGCAAGCTGGATTTCGAAGGGGCAGAGGAACCAGAGACCAAATTGCAAACATGCACTGGATTATGGAGAAAGCTAGAGAGTTCCAGAAAGACATCTACTTCTGCTTCATTGACTATGCAAAAGCCTTTGACTGTGTCGACCACAGCAAACTATGGCAAGTTCTTAAAGAAACGGGAGTGCCTGATCACCTCATCTGTCTCCTGAGAAATCTCTGTGTGGGACAAGAAACTACAGTTAGAACTGGATATGGAACAACTGATTGGTTCAAAATTAGGAAAGGAGTACGGCAAGGCTGTATATTGTCTCCCTGCTTATTTAACTGATATGCAGAATTCATCATGCGAAAGGCTGGGCTGGATGAATCCCAAGCCGGAAATAAGATTGCCGGAAGAAATATCAACAACCTCAGATATGCAGATGACACAACCTTGATGGCAGAAAGTGAGGAGGAATTAAAGAACCTTTTAATGAGGGTGAAAGAGGAGAGCACAAAATATGGTCTGAAGCTCAACATCAAAAAACGAAGATCATGGTCACTGGGCCAATCACCTCCTGGCAAATAGAAGGGGAAGAAATGGAGGCAGTGAGAGATTTTACTTTCTTGGGCTCCATGATCACTGCAGATGGTGACAGCAGTCACGAAATTAAAAGACGCCTGCTCCTTGGGAGAAAGGCGATGGCAAACCTAGACAATATCTTAAAAAGCAGAGACATCACCTTGCCAACAAAGGTCCGTATAGTAAAAGCCATGGTTTTCCCAGTAGTGTTGTCACTGGAAGGACAGATCATGAAGCTGAGGTTCCAATACTTTGGCCACCTCATGAGAAGAGAAGACTCCCTGGAAAAGACCCTGGAAAAGACCCTGATGTTGGGAAAGATGGAGGGCACAAGGAGAAGGGGACGACAGAGGACGAGGTGGCTGGACAGTGTTCTCAAAGCTACCAGCATGAGTTTGACCAAACTGCAGGAGGCAGTGGAAGACAGGCGTGCCTGGCGTGCTCTGGTCCATGGGGTCACGAAGAGTCGGACACGACTAAACGACTAAACAACAACAACAAAAATAAAATCCTGAAATGAAGCAAAACCTACAGCAAGATGGAAAAAAGTTTGTTTTTGTATACTTCCACTTTATTTATATTCAAAAATAAATTCTTCTTTTTCTAATTGCAAAGTCTTTGATCAGATCCTCAAAAGCAGGCCTCCTCAAACTCAGCCTTCCAGATGTTTTTGAGACTACAGTTCCCATCATCCCTGACCATTGGTCCTGCTAGCTAAGTATCATGGGAGTTGTAGCCAAAAACATCGGGAGGGCCCAGTTTGAGGAAGCCTGCTCAAAAGTAATCTTGCATAACACATCTGCATCTATACTTAGTGGAGAGGAAGCAGCCAGCCAGCCTTGTTGCATAGTTGTTCTGTTGGGATTTTTAATATACTTCAACTGAGAAAATGAAAGCTCAGCTGAGTGATTTGTGACCATTAATGTTAAAAATCCAGCAACAGGGAATTTCTGCAGTGCCCTCCTTTCCCTGATGCCCAAAGCACATGCTTATTTTGCTTAATGGTTAATCCAGCCTTGCATCTAACCCTATATTATCTACACAGAATGGCAGCAGTTCCCCAGGGTTCCAGAAGTGGTCCTCTCCCAGGTGGGGACTGAACCTGGGCTCTTTTGTCTGCTTTGCCACTAAGCTTCAGTGGTACCTCTGGTTGCGAACGGGATCCGTTCCGGAGGCCCGTTCGCAACATGAAAACAGCACAACCTGAAGCGCCGTATCTGCGCAGGTGCGCGGCGCGATCTAGCACTTGTGCGCATCCGTGAAACGTGATTTAGTGCTTCTGCGCATGCGCGAGCGGCGAAACCCGGAAGTAACCCTTTCCGGTACTTAACATGAAGCAAACGTAACATGAGGTGTGACTGTACTGCCCTTTCCCCGTAGCTCTTCTGACAGTGATACAGTAGCTGGCCCAGTGCTGGATTTACGTATAAGCTAAACAAGCTATAGCTTAGGGCCCCACTCTCTTGGGGCCCCCCCAAAAAAATTAAAGGGGAAAAAACTGGATGTACATTTCCAAAATATAAGATAAAAAACAAATAAAATTAAACCCACATACAGCAACAGTGTTTTGTGTTGTGTAGGCTCCTATGATGTAAGTAATGGGCCCCGCCTGCTAGCCTGCTCCCTAAAATATCACTGGTAATTATTTCACTATTAATATACTTCTTCTTCATTGTATTTCACTATTAATATACTTCTTCTTAATTGTATTTTAGTTCAACAATTACTTTGATAAAATACATATTTTGTTATGTACAAATGGCTTTAGATACCTGTTAGGTCCATCAATTACCATATACAGTGGTGCCCCGCAAGACGAATGCCTCGCAAGACGGAAAAACCGCTAGACGAAATGGTTTTCCGTTTTGAAGTTGCTTCGCAGGACGAATTCCCCTATGGGCTTGCTTCGCAAGACGAAAATACCTTGCGAGTCCTGAGATTTTTTTTTCGCTTTTCCCCCTTTATCTAATCTGCTAAGCCTTTAATAGCCTTTTAGCAGCTAATCCCTAAGCCTTTAAGCCTTTAATAGCCGCTAAACAGCTGATAGCGCTAATAGCGCTAATCCGTCAATGGGCTTGCTTCGCAAGACGAAAAAACCGCTAGACGAAGACTCTTGCGGAACGGATTAATTTCGTCTTGCGAGGCACCACTGTAGCATATATTCAACACAAAAAAGCAGTGACAATTTGTTGTTGACAAAGGACAGCTGGACATATAAAGGGCCCCATTACCTTCAGTAGCTTAGGGCCTCATCCAACCTAAATCCAGCCCTGGGCTGGCCCAAGGCAAGTCATGTACAGTGGTACCTCTGGGTATGTACTTAATTTGTTCCAGAGGTCCGTTCTTAACCTGAAACTGTTCTTAACCTGAAGCACCACTTCAGCTAATGGGGCCTCCTGCTGCCACCATGCCACCGGAGCACGATTTCTGTTCTCATCCTGAAGCAAAGTTCTTAACCCGAGGTACTATTTCTGGGTTAGCGGAGTCTGTAACCTGAAGCATATGTAACCCGAGGTACCACTGTATTCCAATTTCCACGGTGGAGATGCAAAATAGAGTTGGGGTTTTTTTCCCCTCAAGGACTCCACAAGAGTTGGCCTCCCTCCAGCTGAAGCTGCCCGTGACCTCGAGGGGAACAAATTTTGGTATGAAGTGACAAGTATTATGTTCCTGAGCCAGCAATATCAAAGCAGCCGAACGACAACAAAAAGACACGCACACCGAGGCCCGGACACATAATACAAATGTGCATCCTCCTTTCCGATCCAGGGCAAAATGAAAACAACCGCCCTTTTGTCTTCTATCCTTGGCAGAGTGAAATCAAAGGAGCCTGGAAGCGCTTTGTCTCCATCTGACATGTTGAGTGCAGACATGTTTGGGAGGTGGCAGTTTTATGAAAGGGTGAATTATTTTACCCAAACGAGCCGTCGGTCAGCTGAACTGTACACTTGAGGCCCTCGGTGCTGGGAGCACAAGCCTTATATTGAGTCTTTCAGGCCCTTGGGTCCAGGGAAGGGCTGTAGCTCAGTGCTAGAGCGCATCACATGGCACACAGAAGGTCCTGGGTTCAAATCTCGGCATCTCCAGGTAGGGCTGGGAATGTCCTCTGCTTGAACCCCTCAGAGATCTACAATTTCCAGAGTGTTTTATCAGTCAATGCCTCTTCCCAGGGAATTCTGGGATTTGTAGCAATTTAAGAAGAATAGGGACGCAGGTGGCGCTGTGGGTTAAACCACAGAGCCTAGGACTTGCTGAGCAGAAGGTCAGCGGTTAGAATCCCTGTGACATGGTGAGCTCCCGTTGCCCGGTCCCTGCTCCTGCCAACCTAGCAGTTCGAAAGCATGCCAGTGCAAGTAGACAAATAGGTACCACTCCAGCAGGAAGGTAAACGGCGTTTCCGTGCGCTGCTCTGGTTTGCCAGAAGTGGCTTAGTTATGCTGGCCACATGACCCGGAAGCTGTACGCCGGCTCCCTCGGCCAATAAAGCAAGATGAGCACCGCAACCCCAGAGTCGGCCACGACTGGACCTAATGGTCAGGGTCCCTTTACCTTTACCTAAGAAGAATAGAGTTTTCCTAACAACTCTCAACACCCTTAAGAAATTACATTTCCCAGGGGAATAGCTCTGACTGTTTAAAGTGGTGTGATGGTGCTTTAAATGTATGGTGTGCCATTTTGAATATCATCATTGTTTTCTAACATAAATCTCTCGCGTTTCTTCCACCATGTACTCGTTGCAGCCCACATGCTCTTAGAGTTAATCAATAAATAGATCTGAACAAGACTGGTGAAAATTCAAGGAACTTCGGAATAGTAAACAGAAGACAATTAACTACAATTAACTGTAGTCTTTCTGCCATTTTTATGAGAAAGTATGGCATCTTAAAAAGCAGAGACATCACCTTGCCGACAAAGGTCCGTATGGTTAAAGCTATGGTTTTCCAGTAGTGGTGTATGGAAGTGAGAGATGGACCATAAAGAAGGCTGATCGTAGAAGAATTGATGGAAGGCACAAGGAGAAGGGGACGACAGAGGACGAGATGGTTGGATAGTGTTCTCGAAGCTACCAGCATGAGTTTGACCAAACTGCGGGAGGCAGTGGAAGACAGGAGTGCCTGGCGTGCTCTGGCCCATGGGGTCACGGAGAGTCAGACACGACTAAGCGACTAAACAACAACAATGGCTTCACCCGAAATGACCAACATTTTGAAGCTCAGAATAGCAATACAGTGGTACCTCAGGTTAAGTACTTAATTCGGAGCACGATTTCTGTTCTCATCCTGAGGCAAAGTTCTTAACCTGAGGTATTATTTCTGGGTTAGCGGAGTCTGTAAGCTGAAGCGTATGTAACCTGAAGCGTATGTAACCCAAGGTACCACTGTATTAACTTTATCATAAGTTCACTTCTTTTAATAGGTATTTGTTACTCCACTTCTGTACTTAATATTATTTTAAATGGGATTTGGACAAGGATTTATCCACAGGCTATTTTTTAATAACATTATGTTATTCTATTTCCCAGGAGTTGCATTCTCTTAATCTCCAAATGAAATAATTTTTAAAGATAATGATAAAGGCGACCAAAAAGGGGAAGGTCTGTGCCTTCCTTCTCGTCGCACTTAACATACCAAAAAAAAAAATGAAGAGTGTGTCGCTCCCATGGCAACCATTTGCTTGTTCCCAATCTCAGCGTGTGCCTCTTATTTGGCAACCGCGCCTCACACTCCTCCTAAAGAACTAAGCCCTTGGCACTGCCAACAGATGTCAAAGGCTTTGGATTGGGCTCCCTCGCTCTGCGTTACACCAGCGACCCTGTTTGCCCTCCAGAAAGGTCCACTGAAGGCTCAAAAGGAAGATGGCACTCTCTCCAGAGTTGCCTCGGTGTCAGCATGGCACTGCCAGTTTCCCTGGGTGCTGGGTGGGCACGCTTGGCACACAACTCTAGAGCTAGCAATGACCAGACGTAAGCCACATTCACACCGTACGTTGGATTTCCCCCAAAAGAATTCTGGGAGCTGTAGTTTGTTAGGGGTGCTGAGAGTTGTCAGGAGACCCCTGTGTTTCCCTCACAGAGCTACAATTCCAGAGCACACTCGGAAGAGGGGTTGATTGTTAAACCATAAGGGTTTGGGGATGGGTTAGTCTACGCCAGTGATGGCCAAAATTGGCCCTCCAGCTGTTTTGGGACTACAACTCCCATCATCTAACAGGAACAGTGGTCAGGGATGATGGGAATTGTAGTCCCAAAATAGCTGGAGGGCCGAGTTTGGCCATCGCTAGTCTACGATTTCTCCATCTCTTTTTCTTTCTTCGCCTGAACTGCAACGGAAATCATCCTTCTTTCTCAACGCCAGAATTTCACAACTCTGCCAAGTCTGTTGCTCAAGCCCGCTTCATTTGGGGTCAAGCAAGTTCTCTTTTCTCAGGATTCGTGGTTCCTCTTTCATTCGAGCATCATCTATGCAAATGGCTATCTGAATTCTCCAAGGTCCAACCCTCAGGTAACCAAAACGGCAGTGCCCCTCCACGGGAGGAAGGTTTCGGCAGGCTTGGGGAACAAGAGCCCAAGGTTTCTAGAAGCACAAAAACTATTTTTCCGGGGGTGGGAGTGCAACTAAGCAGGAAAGCGACTCCTGAACAGCCCAATGGCTGCAGCGCAGGTTCAGTTGGCGTGGAATTGTGACTGACGTTTGGAGTGGTGGAGGCAACGGAATGGAGTATCCTGAAAAAGGGTGGTGACTGACCAGTGCAATAGCAGGTCAGGAAATGCAACAGCTGTATACTGTCTGTACTTTGTTATATAATAAAAAAAAAGTTTGTGAGCAGCCTGGAGGACTTCATTGATCGACAAAAGAGAAATGTCATAAATAAAAATAATTAGTGGCATGGAGGTTTTTTAAAAAAATAGAAAAGGGTGGTGATCTATAGCCCCCCCCCCCATTGGTCTTACTATTACATTTGTAAGTTGCTCTGGGTCACTTTTGTGAGTAAAGCAATTAATAAATATTATTGATAATAAGCAGTTGGCTCCTTACCTCTCTCGCCATGACCTAGCCACTGTGATCCACGCGACAGTCACCTCCAGACTGGATTATTGTAACTCGCTCTATGTGGGGCTGCCCTTGAGACTAACCCAGAAACTCCAGCGGGTGCAGAATGCTGTGGTGAGACTCCTTACGGGGTCCTCACTGCGAGATCACATTCACCCGTGCTATACCAGCTGCACTGGCTCCCGGTGGAGTACAGGATCAGGTTCAAGGTGCTGGTTTTAACCTTTAAAGCCCTATACGGCCTAGGACCCTCGTACCTACAGGACTGCCTCTCCTGGTATGTCCCACAGAGGAACTTACGGTCTTCAAACCAAAATATCCTGAAGGTCCCAGGCCACAGAGAGGTTAGGCTGGCCTCAACCAGAGCCAGGGCTTTTTCGGCAGTGGCTCCGATCTGGTGGAACGCTCTGTCACAAGAGATTAGGGCCCTGCGGGACTTGACATCTTTCCGCAGGGCCTGCAAGACAGACCTGTTCCACCAGGCCTTTGGTCAGGGCACAACCTGACTCCCTCCTTTGGGAATCTTCATAGAACTTTGGCCCAGTGGTTGCCATCAATTTGATTTGAATTACTTTTATAATGAAATTATTTTAGAATGTTGAACTATTTTATTGTTGTTAGCCGCCCTGAGCCCGGCTTCGGCTGGGAAGGGCGGGATATAAATAAAATTTATTATTATTATTATTATTATTATTATTACTGGAGGCCTTTACAGTCTGTAAAACGAGGGCTGAAAATGGACTCGATTCCAATACACATATAATTAGTAGAAGAAGAAAGAGCTACCAGATGGAACTAGTTTTAGGAAGCTCATTTCCTAACAGCTAAGCAGCCTAGAAATTCCAAATCTTCAATGTACGAATATTTAGCAGAGGCGGGACATAAAAACATCATGGCTGGCAGCCAATGATAGCTTTAAACTCCGTGAATCTGTCAAATTCTGTTTAGAAGAGCTCTGGTGGAATAGGCCAATGGCGTCTCTAGTCCAGCACCCTGTTCTTACAGTGGCCAACCAGATGAGGAGCCCACAAGCAGGACTTGGACGCAGCAGATGTCCTCTTGCCTCTCCCAGCAACTGTTAATCAGGGGTCTACTGCCTCCGATAGGGGAGTTGGAACATCGCCGCCCTTGTGGCTGCTAGCTGTTAGTAACCTTCTCCTCCAGGAATTTGTTTCCCCCTTGTTTTGGAAGCCATCCAAGATGGCGGCCATAGCAACATACCGTGGATGCGAATTCCATCGTTTAACTCTGCACTGTGTGAAAAGGTCTGCCCTTCTGTCTGTCCCCAGTCTTCCAACGTCCAGGTTCCTTGTATGGCTCCAAGTTCCAGTGATTTGAGAGAGGCCTTTCCAGAATTATAGGGACAGAACTACCAATTTTATTTTATTTTTTCTATATGCATTTTTTTGTATATTATATATAATTGTATATATATACAGTGGTACCTTGGGTTACATATGCTTCAGGTTACAGACTCCACTAACCCAGAAATAGTGCTTCAGGTTAAGAACTTTGCTTCAGGATAAGAACAGAAATCATGCTCTGGCGGTGCGGCGGCAGCAGGAGGGCCCAATAGCTAAAGTGGTCTTCAGGTTAAGAACAGTTTCAGGTTAAGAACGGACCTCCGCAACGAATTAAGTACTTAACCCGAGGTACCACTGTAATTGTATAGAAATTGTATATATATATCATTGTATAGAAACTTATTCATGTATGCAACTACAGCGGCAAGAATGTTACTTGCCCAAAAATGAAAATAAGAAGATGTCTGAGATGTTTTTGGTTGGGATGTGAGTGAGGAGAGGAAAAGAATTTGGTTCAGTTCACATTCCAAGGTGAACCTACCTAACAGACCGTTTCTGAAACAACACAATCTGAAGCACAGCCGTCCTTCAATGTTTGCTCTTCCCTGGATTTGCAGTGCAGTTCTCAACCCAAGTAACGGGTGCAACAATGCATGGACTGGGGTAAATTGTGCCTAAAAAGGCATATATTCATGACAATAACATACAAAAACGTGCTGTGCTAGGGGGAATTGCGTGCAAACAGGAGATTATTGGGAGAAATTCGCCTAAAAATGCTGGTTAATTTTCATGAGGACCTTTTTTTAAAAAAAAAATGCAGACTGATGTGGAAATGTGGAGAACTCAGCTGTAGATCACAGACATCGTGCCTCCAGCCCAGCCCATGCAGACAGAGGTTATTATGTGCAAGCAATAAATAAATCTGCATTTAGGCAAGGAGCCTAAATACATGCCTTGCAGCAAAGTATTTCAGAGGAGGCCTGCGACATACCCTCCAACATTTCCCTGATGAAAATAGGGGCATCCTATTTAATAATAATTAATTAATAATTAACGGGTGGCACTGTGGGTTAAACCACAGAGCCTAGGGCTTGCCGATCAGAAGGTTGGCGGTTCGAATCCCCGCGACGGGGTGAGCTCCTGTTGCTCGGTTCCTGCTCCTGCCCACCTAGCAGTTCGAAAGCACATCAAAGTGCAAGTAGATAAATAGGTACCACTCTGGCGGGAAGGTAAACGGCATTTCCGCGCGCTGCTCTGGTTCGCCAGCAGCGGCTTAGTCATGCTGGCCACACGACCCGGAAGCTGTACGCCGGCTCCCTCGGCCAATAAAGCGAGATGAGCACCACAATCCCAGAGTTGGCCATGACTGGACCTAATGGTCAGGGGTCCCTTTACCTTTACCCTTAAGGAAAAAACAGGACATTCCAAGAACAAATCAGAATACTGTTGTGGGCAGAAGAATGCAATGGAATTTGCAGCCCCCCACTCTGCAATGTTTTGTTGTGAGTCTCACTTGTAAGAATGCAAGAGCAGCCCCACCGGATCAGGCCAACGACCCATCTAGTCCAGCATCCTGTTCTCACAGTGGCCAGTTAGATGCTTATGGGATGCCTGAAATCAGGACCTGGCTGCTACAGCAACTCTTCCCACGTTGCTGGGAATTGCGAGGCATACTGCCTCCGACAGTGCACAGCTACGTTATCCCGTTTCTGTGGGGCAACTGGGGGAGCGGGCTGTTGCCTCCATGCTCTGCTTGCCAGTTTCCCAGAAGCATCTGGCTTTCCACTGTGGGAAACAGGATGCGGGACTTAATGGCAATTTGGCGTGATCCAGCCAGGCTCGTCTAATATTCAAAATTCCTAATGCAAGCTGAGTTGCATGAGAAAGCGAGCTCACCACAGCCTCAAGAGCCCCTCAAGAGTCAGCACGTGAATCAATCTTTTCACATCGAGAGAGTGTGGGTGTGAGGACGCACCGGTTTAACACATTTATATCCTGTCGTTCTCCCGTCACAAGTGGACTCTGCAACAAAATGTTGCAGCATGACAAAATAACAAAAATAAAAACAAGCAACAGCAAACACAACAGCAAACAAACAAACAAAACTGTAAATAAAAACAATATCAAATCCATAAAATGGGATTCTCCGAATCCCATGACTTTCCTCCCCTGGTTCCTTAATTCTCTTTTTCAACTGCATATCATTTCTACTCCAAATTATTTTTCTCCCTCACATTTCTTACATTATTTCTAAAATTACAAGTGTTCTTAAAATCCTGCCAGTGTATTAACCTGTTTACAATACTTTTGTAAGTACATAACAAACATTTCCCATTCTTTTTTAAATTTCTTGTCCTCTTCGTTTCTGAGCTTTCCATTTAATTTAGTCCATTTAAAAATAAAAATAAAATGTTGCAGCATGAAGTGCTGCAGTTCTGCATTCTAGGCCCTTCATTCTTTTCCCATACCTCCATTTTAAACTTTTACTTCCTCCTCCTGCTTACGCCCCATGAAATCCGCGCTTCCATCTCCATTCCCCCAACAAACACCTCTCGAGGCCCCCAAATACTGGCGTCAAGAGCATGAACAAAATCTGCATGCAACTCTGGAAACTCAGAAGTCAAATTTTCTTTAGGTGCGGGAAATTGTCAACAGAGCAGAAGGGAAACATAAGCGCTTGCACACTTTCCAAAGATCTCATGTTGCGCAACTTATTTTACCCGTTTTTGCCAAGGAAGAAAAAGAGACCTTTCAGAACGTCGCTTGGTCTGCCTGCTATAATTATTACTTTAATCTGGTTCAGCAAGGCCAGTGAAGTTCATAGCTCCTGGGTTCGGAATACAAATCTGTCCAGCTTGAAACACCCGATTACATCCAGTGTGAACAGAGTGCCATTTTCCTGAAACAGTTCTCCAGTGTCGTGGACTGGCTGGACACAGAGGGATGGTGGAGGCACTAGCTGGGCCACCTCCCAAGGGATGAAGGCTCAGAGCCTAGGGGTTGGTGGTGCGACAAGGATGAGTGGTCAGAGGGAGAAGAGGGAAGGAGCAGACTGGGAGGAAGAGGTATCAGAAGTGGTAACAAGATTTAGTGAGCAAGAAGCAGCTGTGGTAGAGAGACCTCCAGAATCAGAGGCAGAAGTGGAAGCAGAAGAAAAAGAGGGAGGCCAAGAAACAGAGAGGAGTCAGGCTGGTGAAGAAGCCAGGGGGTCTCCCCCTCCTGCTGCGATCAGCTCCCTTTCCACCAGTCTGCCAGAACCAGAAGAGGTATGAAGAAGGAGGAGCAGAGGCAGGCACTCTGGCAAAGTCTCAGATTGCTTGGGAAGGACCCAGGAGATGAGGAAGCTTAGGCAGCTGTGGGAAGGTGTGGGCCTTCATGTCATGAAATTCTACTTAGTATTGATCCAGAGTAGATTCCAATGTATATTTAGCAGAGTAACAACTTAAACAAGTTGCAGGATTCCCATGTATTTCATCCAGCAGAACTTTACCGCTACTGAAGGCAAATGAGCGTAATGGTCACAAGTCCAATACATTCAGGATTGGCACTGCCCATAAGAAATCCAGTTGCAGCAGACTTAACTTAAACTTACAATAACTTACAATAAGTATAAACCTTAACACTAAGCATATTGTGTACAGAACACCACACCAGAAGGCAAAGAGATAGAAAGAGAACGTGAAACCCAGGCTCCTCCTGGTCCTACTTTTATAGGCAGCATGACCTTGATTAAAAGAGATAACAGAACCAGTTTAAATCAGCTGCACTTGGCTTCTCTGAAGGAATAACCAAAAAATCTTGAACCTTCTGATTGCTTCTTTCACACAGAGAAGCTTCCAGAAACTTCCAGAACCCTCTTGAAATCAGAATAGGAAAGATCTCTACACATCAGATCAATACTTTCTGCACTAAGAAATGCAAACTGACACTTCAGTCCACACAACTGCCTCATGGGCGCAAGATCTTCCGGGGAAAGTTGCTCTGCTCATTCGGCCTGGCACTGCTGAGCAGCTTTGTTTTGCCTAATAAAGAGTTAACATCACTTACTCCGTGTGATTTATTGCTGGCCGGCTCCTGGCATCCAGCTCAGAACCTCAAAAAAGACTTCATGCCCTGTCCATGCTCAGCAGACACAATGCCCTTTGTAGGTGCAAGTGGAAAAACATTTTTTATTGCTACCCAACAACTCTCAGTGATCACTGTGTAGACTACAGGAGATGGCCACTTCAGCATTGTCCTCCCCCAAAAAGAAAATGCATCACCAAACAAAAGAGAGCACAGATTTGCCTGTGCTGATGTGCGGAGAGAGATGGGCATTTAGAAATAATCAGTGTGATTTATACAGAACTGCAAAACTTTGCTCACTAGTGGGGAAGACTATGTCCAGGTGACCTGCTCAGTCTGCTGACCAGGTGTAGCTTTCTTTAGGGGTCCTCAGGGCTTTTTTTCAGCCAGAACCCACCGGAACTCGGTTCTGGCACCTCTCAGGGGGGCACCATTGCCATTACAGTCGTACCTTGGGTCCCAAACGCCTTGCAAGTCAAACGTTTTGGCTCCCGAATGCCACAAACCCGGAAGTGAGTGTTCTGGTTTGCGAACAGTCTTTGGAACCAGAACATCTGATGCGGCTTACACAGTTTCTGATTGGCTGCAGGACCTTCCTGCAGCCAATCAGAAGCAGTGCCTTGGTTTCCGAACGGTTTGGAAGTCGAACAGACTTCTGGAACGGATTCCTTTCGACTTCCGAGGTACCACTGTATAAGAGAACAAGGGAGGTGTCCATGGTGAATTCTAGTACCTCTTTTTCTATAAAAATAGCACTGCGAGTCCTTTATCTTGGATCCACTAGTTGTTAGAAACAACACAATTCTTTGGTTCTTTTACCAGTGTCACACCTTGCCTGAACTCCCTGCAATATTGACCTTGGACTGCCGCCTGACTTTGTCTGTGCACCACATTTGGGCAAGCATATTGTCAAGGCAGGGACACGGGTGGCGCTGTGGGTTAAACCACAGAGCCTAGGACTTGCCGATCAGAAGGTCCGCGGTTCGAATCCCCGCGACGGGGTGAGCTCCCATTGCTTGGTCCCTGCTCCTACCAACCTAGCAGTTCGAAAGCACATCAAGTACAAGTAGATAAATAGGTACCGCTCCGGCGGGAAGGTAAACAGCGTTTCCCTGCGCTGCTCTGGTTTGCCAGAAGCAGCTTAGTCATGCTGGCCACATGACCCGGAAGCTGTACACCGGCTCCCTCAGCCAATAAAGCGAGATGAGCGCCACAACCCCAGAGTCGGCCACGACTGGACCTAATGGTCAGGGGTCCCTTTATCTTTACCTTTATTGTCAAGGCAGCTATGGCAACAGCTCTCCTCTCCAAATCAGAATGGGAGAATGTGATGCTAATAGGTAATGGTAAAGGTACCCCTGCCCGTACGGGCCAGTCGTGTCCGACTCTAGGGTTGTGCGCCCATCTCACTTAAGAGGCCGGGGGCCAGCGCTGTCCAGAGACACTTCCGGGTCACGTGGCCAGCGTGACGAAGCTGCTCTGGTGAGCCAGCACCAGTGCAGCACATGGAAACACCGTTTACCTTCCCGCTATAAAGCGGTACCTATTTATCTACTTGCACTTAGGGGTGCTTTCGAACTGCTAGGTGGGCAGGAGCTGGGACCGAAAGACGGGAGCTCACCCCACCGCGGGGATTCGAACCGCCGACCATACGATCAGCAAGTCCTAGGCACTGAGGTTTTACCCACAGCGCCACCCGCGTCCCCTGTGATGCTAATGGCCAATACCAATATGAAGGTCTACCAGGTTTGCGTGCTGAGCATGCTACTTTATAGTAGTGAGACGCGGGCAACTTACACACACACCCCAGGAGCGATGCCCCAGCCAGCATGATCAGTGGCTGAGGATCATGGGAATCGGAGTCCAACAACATCTTGTAGGGCCACAGATAAGCCACATCAGAAGAGGAAACAGCAGAGTTCGTGGAAGGGTCATCGTTGAAATAATTGATTTTGATTTCCCCAAAAATCTGAAGAAAGACGTTGAACTCGGAGCGCCCGGGAGGCGAGGCGGCGATTGCATGGCAGAAAAAGGATATGACAGCCACAAAAGACAAAGGCAAAAGCCACAACCAGAATGAGAGATAGAGAAAGAGAGAGTGAGGATGAGACACAGTCGTGTGTGCCAGATTATGTTTCGCTAAATGGCAACCCTGATGGAGAAGAGGGAAAGATTCAGAAATCAGTACACTGCTGGAAGGAACAGCCCCGTAAGTGTGCTTAATTAGGGAAAGATCTCTCCATGGCACCTGCGTCAGAGAGATGGTTGTATCTGAAGCGACAGAATCAGGCTAGCGAGGAGGAAATAAAAAGGGCGTCAGTCACGGCATGTCAGTTTAGGGCACAATCCTGAAGCGGTTGAGGGGCTTTTTTGCTAATAAAACAGGGTGCAAATCACCACTAAGGTTTTTCTTAAAGTTTCTTCATGATACAATATAGGAAACTGATGTAAGTAAAAAATAAAAAAGAGCTTCAAAAAGTAAAAAATAATAAAAAGAGAGTAAGCAGTCCTCTCTTAATGGCAGCTCTCGCCACCCACAGAAGGTAGTATCCCCTCGCAGGTCTTACCTGGGATGTTTCCTTTCTCCTCTCAGTCTCTCACCATGGGGGACCAGCATTTTCCTGCCTCCCACCAAGGCCCCTCCATCAATCACTTACCACCTCCATGAGTGTACAATCCCTAGACCCTAATAAAAAAACATGTTTTGGGGCTTTGGGGGATTTATAATGCATTTTCAAAAAGAAAAATCACACTACTTGCCATACGTTCAGGTTTTTCTGGACATTTTGCTGATTCAGCAAAAACCCGCCCAGATGCCATTTTGCAGCCCAGATGTGTCCGGCAAGACCCAGATGTATAGCAGCCCTAGGTATGAGCCCACTTTAAATGTCCAGTGCAGATGAGTCTGTGGGCTGCAGGTTGCCAACTTCATCTTAAACCACCCCTGAGAGATGGAAAATGAAACTAGCCACACTCCCCCCTTCTCCCTTCCTCCCGCCTGCCACAAGAAGTCCAGAAACAAACACCTCGAAGTCCAAAATGCACATGGCACAACACAGTTTGAGGCCAAACATGCCTGTTCTGAGTCTGTCCAAAGTTTTCCCTGCCTGAGTAACAGAGAAGCCGTGTAATGGCTGATGGGTCTTGAGTTTGAGCTTTCTTGGCAAGTGTCAAAACACACACGCCCCTTTGCTATATATTTTGGCTCTCCCCCTGCCCGGGACGTAAATGGCTGCGTTCAGATTCAAGTCCACACCCTGGCTGCTGGAACATCTTAAAAAGCATTCAGTTTGCCTTCCTTATTGGAAAAACAAAGTTAGCAAGGTACTGCAGACTCTTCATTGAAAGAGTCTTTTCTGTGCCTTTTCCAGCTTTTGTTGATGGATTGACCAAAACTGTACCAGTATTCCCCATAAGGCTGCACCATAGCTTGTCTCTCCGGCTAAGAGGGAGCCCTGAAGAGACTGGAGGTGCAGAGGGACTTCGTTTACGTTGCTCAGGCTCCCCGCCAGCAACTGACGCATGCAATAGCGCAACAGCTTTTCTGCGCAGCCAGCCCCAAAGCTTCAACTCTAGTTGAGAAGAGAGTTGCATGAAAAGAGACCGAGAGAGAGAGCTGGAGAGCGGGGGACAGGGGGGATGGGTCTTTAGAGGGTTTCTAGAAGGTGCTTCCCACTCATGCAATTTTCACTTATGGTCATGGGGTCCCAATACATAACCCCTGTGTAAGTCAGGGGATGCCTATATTTTGCAGCCAACTCCTGCCAGGATGATGCCTGCAAGCTGCATGCATAGTCTTTAATATAAGGAATAATAATAAAGAATAATAATTTATTACTTATACCCTGCCCATCTGGCCAGGCCTCCTCAGCCACTCTGGGCGGCTCCCAACAGAATATTAAAAACACGATAAAACGTTAAACATTAAAAACTTCCCAATACAGGGCTGCCTTCAGATGTCTTCTAAAAGTCAGTTAGTTCTTTATTTCCTTGACATCTGATGGGAGGGTGTTCCACAGGGCGGGCGCCACCACCGAGAAGGCCCTCTGCCTGGTTCCCTGCAACATCACTTATCGCAGGGAGGGAACCGCCAGGAGGCCCTCGGAGCTGGACCTCAGTGTCCGGGCTGAACGATGGGGGTGGAGACGCTCCTTCAGGTATACTGGGCCGAGGCTGTTTAGGGTTATAAGGTCAGCACCAACCCTTTGAATTGTATTCAGAAAGGTACTGGGAGCCAATGTAGGTCTTTCAAGACTGGTGTTATGTGGTCTCCCTGCCACCGGGACTGGCAGTCCTAATCACTTAGCTATTTGCCCATCCCTAAGTGGGAATATGTGCCGCCACCCGTAGAGTCTTTTATTCCTCCCATCTATACACAAAGACTAAAAGGAAAAAACAACAGCGCCTGGGCCCACCACTATAGTTGTTTACCAAGTAAACGATCCCGCTATGTCCTGACATCTCCCCTCGATGGAGCAGCCAGGAAGCATCAGGGGGGAGAGAGGTTTGGAGGAGAGAAAGCGAGAGAGCCCATCAGCAATTCAAATCGAGCCTCGCAATTAAAAGTCCTGGTACTGGCTGGAGCCTGCAAGCAGCTGCCCAAAAGGACAAGGCCTCCAGCCTTAAAACAGGAAAGCCTTTCAGTCGCCGCCAGTGTGGGACGGCTTAAAATAATACTGCCACACAGCATCTCGATGGCATGCAGCCCTGCTCAGTCACACACACCAAGCAAAGGGGGGAGGCACTGGAAAAGACAGCCGAAGAGATGAGGAAAGCTTGCTTTCTTTTTTCCTTTTTCTTTTTCCCCTACTGGGCTTTGTTTATTTAAACAGTTTTTATATGTGGAGTCAAAGCTCGGGAGCTTTCCCAGAGCCTGAGTGCGCATGGCGGAAGGGCGGAGGTTTCATCAAAGCTGCAGAGGGAGGGAGGC